CGCGTTGTCGTGTTGGAGCACGACACGCTTTGTGGCACTGGGAAAGCTCGCCTTGATCGCAGGTACGACTTTGTAGAGGACGTAATCACGGTACGTCGTAGCGTCAACATTGACAAGAGTGGTAACCATGGAACTAGCGAGTCGATTTCGTGAACTCCGGCGAGCAGGGGATTGAGGGACAATGGGTCACAGACCAATCTTTCCGTCGTAGCCGACGTCCATTTGCGGCCGAGCAACAACAGCACACAGGAACATGACCTTGGGGATAAACCGCTTGGACTTGCACGCTCGACGTTGGACCTCTTCGCATTCCACGAGGTACTCCTTGCGACAATCTTTGTCCGCATTGAACCACTTTCGTTCAGATGAACCACGTCCCACATGCCCGAAAATTCGCCTTCCACGAGGTACTCCTTGTGACAATCTTTGTCCGCATTGAACCACTTTTCGTCCAGATGAACCACGTCCCACATGCCCGAAAATTCGGATTCTTGTAGTGTGCCGGCCTTGGGCTACACCGCGGAAAGCGTTGATGGCATCGTGGGTCAGGACGATATGAGCACCGCAGAAGGCTAGGCGTTCGTGCTTGTTGGCGTTGGTGAGAAGCGGTTTCAGTCGAGATGAGCGACGTTGAAAGACACCATTCTTGAGAGCGCGGCTGAGTTTGAACGTTGACATGCCAGTTGCTTTTGAGAGCTCTCTGAAAGTGTTGCGCTGGTTTAGTGGAACGGCTCGAATCAGTGCGACGATTTCCTCCTTGGTGTAGTGCTTCTTGGGACCAACGCGACCGACTTTGAGATTCTTTGTTATCCCATCCTTATAGCGGCTCCAAATTTGGCGGACTGTGCTACGGTGGAGTTGAAAGCGCTCGTCCGCCGCCTTGATGGTGCCGCGCGGTAGTTTGCCCTTGGATAGACAGTCTTGTAGCGCAGTGGCAACTTCACGCTTCTCGACGTCTCTCAGTTCACGGCTCTGGCGGTGGGATGTGCTCATGGCGGGAAATTTGAATGCGTTCTCATACTCCGAAGTTTAATTTCTTTTTATATTTATTTTATTTCATCTGGTGGTGCTAAGGCGACGTCGATTTTGGCCATCAATTTGTCCTTACTGTGATTGGTTGCCGATTGACGCTCGCTCTAGTTTTTTATGCTCTTTCTCTTGTGATATTCAGCATCAAATTTGGACAATATATGAATTTTTCGGTAACTTTCAATCCATGTGGTGGCAGTAATACCAAACAGAGGAAGTAGTTGTAATCGAAGATACTTTTTCCACTTGATAATTTTTGGACTTAGTGATAATGACTTGAAACTGCGTTGCGATATTCATGTAATAATTTCTTGGAGTATATGAAAAAGACTTGCCACTGCCCGGGAACGAACCACGGGCCCCTTCCGCTAACGCTTGGATGCCGTCGCTCTAACCGCTGGTGGATGAGCCACCAGCCAAGACGTAGTTTCTTTTGAAAGTGATATCAGTCAAAACACATGGCACAAAAAGGTCAAGTTAATGATCAATTTAAAATGTCAACTTTGTCATTACTAGTACCCGAGTCACAGTGAAAAGATGGGAATAAATGATCATCTATCTTCGTTTCAGTCATTGACCTCGATAAACAACAGTAAGCACGTTCTCATTCAACACACAGTCACTGAACAAGAGGTCTACTAACAACGTGACCATTGTATCAATCAAAGAAAAGATCGAAACGCCCTTATCTTCTAATGACCTCTTCGTTACACTTTGTCGTTTTAGTGAAAGCTCAATATTTGAATCTACGAGTGTTTCATAATTTTATTACCTCATGAAACAATTAAATTTCTATCGTCAGCTCTCATTGGCTATAATTTTGGTCATCCTCAGCTCGAAGTCAAGGTGGGCGTTGCATTCTGGGCGTTGCATTCTGTCGTTTCAAGTGTACTGACTGACAGAGAGAACCTTGTTTGAGCTTGAGTTCATTGCCTTCCGCTTGCAGCTGGGCGAGACCTTCGTATAACGCATACTGAGCCGTCCCATACTCACGACCATGGTGTCCGCGCCGTCGCAAGCGTGGCTAGACACGATGGCCAAAGCAGCTGCATCTTGTGTGAACGACATGATCCGGTGCCAGGTTGCCCACGCGGTCATTTTCAATAAGACAAGCACAAGGTGAAGTCATACTAGTATATCAACGACCTGATTCGGAATGAATGTAATTGAACTGCATGAATGAATGTATCGAGGTACTCGGAACGCAAACGACTAAGTCTTGCCGACTCTCGAATGGCTTCACCACCCTATGCGCCGCCAACATCCCTCAAGGCTCTGATCGACGCGCCAAAAGGCCACCTCGACCATTACCCGGACGAAGCGTTTCTGCTGCACGTGTTCTGGGAAGCGCCAAGCCGCACCGACGCGGAAACTTTGCTTTCTGCATTACGCGGTTGTGGTGTGGCTACACATCGCGACACACCTTGTGTTCCAACGTATTTCTTTCGCATTACCACGTCAAACCCAGTGACTCCGCCCATCTCTACTGTCGGAGAGTACCCGCCACTGCACGATGCATTGAAGAAGCTACAGGTCGGCATTCCCAAGCCCGTTGTTCGCGCGGACCTCGGCCGTCGTGGCATGAACCCTGACTGGGTCGACCTCACCCACTCTGATCCATTGCCCACCGAACTCCGCACCGAATCCGTCGTGGTGGAATTCACTGAAATATACCTCGATGAGCGAGCGTTCATGCTGCACTGTGGCTCCAAGGACTACCTTGACGCATATGGGATTGTGACTCGCCCAGGGCTGTCACTTCGACCACCCGTCACAACACGCATCGGTTCACCGTCCCTCAACGTCGTTGATAAAATTCTCGAGCCCATTTTGCATGAGACTGTCGTCCCCGTCGGTGCGGGTGTTGTCTGGCAAGTCCCGCCTCCATCCGTTCGTGCACAGTCCGCTCAAGACGCTGTTATGCTCGCACTCGACTGCAAGCGTAAAGTTGATGAACTGCCTGATCAAGTGCGCCGTGCGTGTACTACAGCCGTGGCATTCCCGCATGCTCTGAAGGAAGAAATCACCCGTTGGTTGATCGTGCTGCCATCCATGCCTTCCACGGACTTCTTGGTTCAGCTAAGTCAAGCTTTGGGTCCTGTCGTTGCAGGAGAAGCCCACACGACCTCAGGGAAGAACAGTCCTACGCTGAGCGTAGCCCTCGACGAGGCCGAGCTACCCGTCACAGTCAACGGTGACTCGAGCGGCGGGTACATCTTGCACGAGCTTGCCAGCGACTTGCATGTGAGGACGAATAGCGACAAGTAACAGAGGGGGATGCATCCGCGCTACTCCATTCACACGTTGACGGTCAACCATGGTAACGAACGGATCTAAATCTTGTCGCACGTTGTCTTTGAAAGCATCGTCTTGATGGCATCCCGTTATGAAGGGACTCACGAACTATTAATACATCGTGCGAAACCGAGACAGCCTTGTGCTCCAACGCTCCGGCTAAGCAGCGTTTTGAACCGCGTGACCGAAATTTGCCGTGTATTTGTGCTACGTGGCGTCGGGGGCCATGCCTGCCACCAAGGTGACACCACTGCGCCGCACGTTGCTGCGGCAGCTGAGCAACCTTCGTGGCCCGCATGTACACCGACACACAAGCTTTGATGTCTGGGCCCTCGGCATCACGATCGTCATTGGCGGGCAGTACTTTTCATGGAACGCGGGTCTGGCGGCTGGCACGCTCAGCTATGGCATCTCGGTTGTGCTCATGGGCGTCGCGTATCTGTGTCTGACCTTGTCGATGTCTGAAATGACAAGCATGCTGCCGTTTGCCGGTGGCGCGTACGGTCTCGCCCGGTGTACACTGGGGTACTACGTTGGGTTCCTCATGGGCTGCTGCGAAGCAATCGAATACATCATGTACGTGACATGCTCTGTCGTGCAGCTAGGTCGGATGCTCACGACGCGGTGGCCCGACCTGGCCAAGTGGCAGTTTGGCGTGTGGTTTGTCGTGTATGCGGTCGCGTGCGGGGGCCTCCTCGTCGGCGGCAAGTTGTTCTGGAGATGGAACGCCGTGCTGGCGTTGACATCGATTGGAGTCCTCCTCGTGTACTGCGTTGGGTCGGCGGGGAAAGTCGACCTTGCAGCAAATGCAGGCGGGGGTGCCCATTTCGTGATTGGCGGCGCCATGTCGCTGATGAAATACCACCCCCTCGCCTCGTGGTTCTTTGTCGGGATCGAAGCACTCAACACCATGTCCAACGAAGTGCACAACCCCAAGGTGACCATTCCACGAGGCCAAATCGCGTGCATGCTGACGCTGCTTGTGACGGGCGCGTCCGTGTTTGTGGTTACCATCGGGTTGCCCCCTGGGATGCCTGCCGTCGCGACCGAGCTCATGCCCATGAATGTGGGCTTCGTCCTATTGTTTGGCGTGTCGAGTTCGTCCGCGGCGCTCTTTTCCGTCCCGGCTACGTTTGCCACGATCCAAGGCTTCATTTTGGCGTACGCAAACATCGTGTCTGCGCTCGCGTGTTCCAAGCTGCTTCCGCACGGCCTACAGCGGTCATGGCGCAACTGTGATGCCCCCGTGTTTGCTATTGCGGGAGGCAGCGCCCTCAGCTTTGGGCTATGCTTTGTCGACTACTACATCGTTGGGCTAGACGGGATACTGTTCAACGTGTGCATGCTGTTTGCTTGCATCGGGTACACGTCGCAGTGCATTGGGTACATCTACTTGAAGAAGCAGTGCGTAAGCTTAAGTCGTGGGTTCCACAGCCCGTTTGGCATTCCCGGCGCAGTCGTGTCGATGGTCGTGTGGGTCTTTACCATGGTATCCATCATTGGGTTTCAAGACGACCACGAAAACAGCTTGATCGTGGCGCTGGCTATCGTGGCGGCGCTTACGTTGTACTACCACTGCTTTGCCAAGTACCGCCAGACGTTTTCCGAAGACGAGCGGCGTGTGCTCTTTCCCGTGCATGTTGGTGCGTTGATCTTTATGATGTAGCTACCCTAGTCCTGACTGCTCCACAGCGATCCTGAACGCCGCCCCACAGACTCATCGTGCGCTTCGCGGCCAGTCGACGTCCGAGCGCATGGTTATGAACTTCAATCCGTCCTTGAAAAAGTTGATGTTTGTTCCCACGACATTGCATCTGTCAACGATCAAGTCGGCGACCACGATGCAGCTGCACGGGTCCAAGCTCCATGAGGATGCTTCGCAGCCTCCAGAAGCAGCGCCAGCTCAAGAATGCCGAGTTGCCGACCGAGCCAGCAGCCGGGAAACTCCTCCGCCACGAATGGTGCGAGCTCCAACAGAGCTCGATCTCCATCAGTCGATTCGAAAAACTTAACTTGAAACAGAAGGAACGTACCCTGACGCTATACAGCCTCGCAGTCTTGATATCGGCACTCCCAATAAATAGTAGCGTTAGCTCTTGTGTGTTGATATTCCTGTGGCACGCATGCGACGTCGAGTAGTCTGAAGGGCATTCCCACGGTCATCCTACCAAGGATTACCTGTAAACATCTCAGCAACGCTCAGTCACGTGCAGTCGCAATGCATATTGGAGACAATGTTGACACATTTTGGACGACAATCCCAACCAGTGTGAATGCAAAAATATGACGGGGAAACGGCGCGTGTAACCGACGCAACGGTTGTATCGGTTACGGACGTGGTGGTGTTCATCCCTCGTGAAAATGCGCGGCAGGGACAGGTTTGGCCAGTCGTCAAAGAAGCAGACGGCGCCACGAATTCGACGCAGGAGCACCATCCAAGAACTCATCCAACACACCCACGACAGCCTCGACGTGTGGGCCGTCGGGATCACTATCGTTATTGGCGGCCAGTACTATGCATGGAACACCGGGTTGGCATCTGGCACGGTCAGCTATGGTGTCGCCGTGTTGTTTATGGGGATGGCGTACCTTAGCCTGGTGCTATCGATGGCGGAAATGACGAGCATGCTGCCCTTTGCTGGCGGCGCGTACGGCTTGGCCCGGTGCACTCTTGGGTTCTACGTTGGATTTCTTGTTGGTATCTTTGAAGCGATGGAGTATATTGCGTACGTGTCGTGTGCGATGGTGCAGCTCGGCCGCATGGCATGCTTCTACAGCCCAATGGCGCAAACGTCACTTCACGTAATGTGTCTCGTCACGTACGTTATCGCGGCCATCCTAGTCACAATTGGTGGCAAAGTGTTTTGGCATTGGAGCAAGTGTGTCGCTGTCATCGGCATCGCGTGCATCTTAGCCTTTTGTGGCCTGTCCTTTCCATATGGGGATTTGGCGCGGCATGGCGGTGGCGAGTACCAGGTCGTGGGAGGCATATCCAAATTCCTCGAGACGTTTCCGCGTTCGTCATGGCTTTATGCTGGGATCGAGTCGCTGAATATGCTGAGCAACGACGTCACGAATCCAAAGGCGATCATTCCCAAGGGTCAAGTCACGTGCATTCTCACGGTGCTTGCGACATCCTGGGTCGTTTTTCTCGTCACCGTGAGTGTGCCACCGGGAATGCCTCAGGTGGCCCACGAGTTAGCTCCAATGGCCAATGTCTACGCGATGGCTCTTAACATCACGCTGTCTTCGGCGACGGCGATGTCGATACCTGCAGCGTTCGCGACGATCCAAGGACTCATGATGTCGTTCACGAATGTGATTGCAGCCATGGCCGCATCCAAATTGCTTCCGGTGCACCTCGCCGCGCGGTCGACGGTATTCAACACCCCCACGTACGCCACATTTGTAGGGTCTGCTTTGAGTCTGGCACTGTGCGTCGCAGGCAACCTGGTGGACGAGATGGACGCCGTCCTGTTCAACGTGACCATGCTGTTCATGTTTGCCGCGTACACGTCGCAATGTGTGGGGTACATCTTCCTCAAGCACCGGCACAACACTCTTCCCCGATCGTTCCGGAGCCCGCTCGGTATCCCCGGCGCCGTGTTTGCAATCTGCGTGTGGGTCGTCAACATTGTTTCGATCGTGGCCTTTCAACCCGTCAGCTACAGCACGGTCAGCATTGCCACCGCGCTCGTCGTATTCTGGTCTGTCTATTACTTTGCGTACGCGCGGCAGCGGCAGTCGTTCTCGAACGACGAGCGATCGATTCTCCTCTTCGCGCATGTTGGTACGACTAAACATTCCTCGATTGTGCCCAACCGTTTGTCCGAAAGGCAATTGACTGGACTTGCCTAGCCAACTTGGAACATGCCAGACCGAAGTGGACGACCCAAAGCGTCGCCATTGCGCCACACACGGGCTTACACCTGCTTCGGCCGCGGAAGGTACGAGCCGCCCAGAAAACGCCGACCGTGACTTCGGCAGTACCAGCACCACACTGTCGGGTCCAACGGTCCCCCGGTACGCTTCACGTTTCCTCGACGGCCGCCGCGGCGACTCGCCCGCAACCTGACGACCTCATGGGGCGACTCAACCATGCCGACATGCTCGGCTTCTGAGAGCTCCGATGCACTATTTATACTTCATTTCTACAACTGCATCGACCTAGCACGGCACATGGATTTGAATGGAAGGCACCGCTCACGCATCGATGAATGTATGCACAAGGTAGTCGTGCCTCCTCTGCACGCAGACGCAGAAGACAATTTATCGGCACTTAATCTCTTCAGAGTCATCCACAATGGCATGTGATTGAATCGTTGTGGCTAAAATTGCAACAAGGCCAGGAGTCCCCGTTTCACGGTTTCGCTCGCGTCCGACTTTCCGAGTCACTTGTTCGCATTCAACAGTAGGGGACGACGCCATGTCCGTGGCGCCGCATTTGCTCAAGCGCCAAGCGACGTCGTTCAAGGATCGCATTCAGCACGCCCATAGCTCGTGGGACCTATGGGCGATCGGAACAACCATCGTGATCGGGGGTCAGTTCATTTCGTGGAACGCCGGGCTCGTCATTGGCGCTGCCGAATACGGGGTCGCCGTCGTCATCATGGGCATCGCGTACACGTGCCTGGCCTGTTCGATGGCTGAAATGTCGAGCATGCTGCCGTTCGCGGGCGGCGTGTACGGCCTCGGGCGGTGCACGTTGGGGTTTTCAATCGGTTTTGTCCTCGGGTGCTGCGAAGTCCTGGAGTATGCCATGTACGTGGCCACGATGAACGTGACATTGGGCAACATGGTCGTCGTGCGGTGGCCCGACGTTGCTCCGTACCAGCCCTACGTGTGGGTCGCGGCGCACGGGTTCTCGTTGGCGCTGCTGTTCGTCGGCGGCAAAGCGTTTTGGAAATTCAACCTCGTGCTGGCCATGGTGCTCGTGCTCCAAGTGCTCGTGTCCTGCCTCGGGTTTGCCTCCGTCGCCAACTTGAAGCTCTACGCACGCAACTCGACCGAGTTGCCGACGGCCGCGACATCTGTGCTCGACTGGTTCACAACGCTTCCGATCGCATCGTGGTTCTACGTTGGCATCGAAGGCATAAACACGCTCTGCAACGAAGTAGTCGACCCGAAGAATACAATTCCCCGTGGCCAAGTCGCTGCCATCATGACCATGGTGCTCACTGGCATATGCGTCTTCCTCACGGCGATCAGCTGTCCGCCAGGCATATCTGACCTCATCACGTCCATTGCGGTCTTCAACGGCGGCTACACGCACTTCCTCGGTCTCTCTGTCCCCGATGCCACGGTGCTGTCGATTCCCGCTTGCTTTGCATGTATTCCCGGCTTTCTCCTAACCATGGCAAACATCCTTGCGTCCATGGCCGAGTCCAAGTTGATTCCGTACGGACTGCACCGCCGCCACCCAACGTTTGGAACCCCCGTCCGCACACTCGTGGTATCCATTCTCCTGAGCCTCGGGCTCAGCTTTGTCGTGCATTTTGTCCCGAATGCTGCCACGACCATGTACAACTTGAGTCTGAGCTTTGGCACACTCGCGTACGTGTCACAATGCATTGGGTACATTTTCCTGAAGAAGCGGTATCCGACGATGAAGCGGGAATTCCACAGCCCGTTTGGCGTAGCTGGGGCAATTGTTGCCATGGCGATCTTCGTCGCCAGCTTCATTTCGCTCATGGTGCTCCAGCCATCTTCGAGGAATGCCAACATTTTCTTTGCAGCGATCCTTTTCCTCCTCACGTTGTACTATCACTTGCATGCAAAACGCCGCCAAACGATCTCGGACGACGAACGCAAGATTCTCTTCTTTGTCCATGTCGGTACGTCCTCTGACCCGCCCAGTTGCGGGAAATGCAATGAACAGTCGGCGTGACTGAGGGTGCATGTAGCAAATCACAACGAAGCGAAGCGCAGACATGGCCGACCGCCACATGGCATCATGAAAGTGTTTTACATCCTCACGACGCGACGGTCATCGGTGACGGCAAAGACCGCTCAAACGGCAGTCCAGGACCATCCACACGGTTCAAAGGCACCACCGGTCGGGACACATGCCCCCCCGCGGGCTACAGATTTGCCGCCCGGCGCTGACAAACAAGCATAGCCGATACGATGTTGTAATTGTTGTCTCGATGTTTTGAGAACGGGGTTGAGGATGTGGGGCAGTACGGGTTGGCATGTGCACCTTCTCCCACTCCAGGTCCCATTGCTGCATGTGGTGTAGTAGAATATCGAAGTTTGCAAGGTAGCCCATGGTCATCCAGTTCCACATGGGAGCTGTACAAGAAAACGAGAGGCCGGGGCATGTTTGTTATCGTTGTATACAATGAGTGCGCAAAGGGGGAAGGTCTGACCGCGCCTTCGTCGGGCGCTGATGTGGCCATTCACTTCTCTTTTTTCATCAGGTGTATACAATCGAGTGTGGAATGGGGGAGGCCTCGCCCACGGTCGGGGAGAAGTCGACGGAGAGCTCATTGTAATGCGAACAAGGACGGACTGCCGACGACTTGGTTGATTGGACTGGCGGGCGTCGCGTTCCTGACCGACGCGGTCCTGTTGAGATCCTTCAAGTTGGGCGACTTGACTTTGGCGGTCGGCGAGTGCACACAGCTTGTGTTGGACGAAGACGACTTGATTTGGGGCATGCGCTTGAATACAAAGGTTGCCTTCGAGTGAATCCATGACTTGGCTTTCTGTCGGAGGGTACGAGTCCGTCGCTTGGACAGATTGTGCTTCGCTACACCGTGCTCCATGAAGTGGGCGACAATCCATCAAGCATCAAGCTAGACGTACACACGTGGGCAAAGAACAGGGCTTTGCGCTCTTCTTCTGAAATCGTCTGCCTCTCTTTCGCGACAGCGTAGTAGTAGACGGTGCACACCCCGAGGACACCGACGGCAATCAAGACACTCGTGTGGCCGTCGCCTTGGTAGTTGGCAATGGAAACCATCGTCCAGAGCCACACAGCGCTGGCGTAAATCGCGCCGGCGCGGCCGAATGGACTTTTGTACTTGCGCTCCATCGATCGAAAGTTCTTCTTCAGGTAGAGGTACCCGACGCACTGGGACAGGTACGATATACACCCGAGGAAGATGCATGTGTTGAACACGGTCGTATCGAGCGACGCGTAGAAGTCGACGAAGCACAGGCCAAAGCTCACGCAGGACGCTACCACTATCGCGTACACAGGAGTGTGCCACTTGGGGTGCTTCTCGTGCAGCACGACAGGGATCAACTTGGACCCGGCCATGCACGAAATGATCTTCATGTATGCTTGGACAAATCCTTGGCCAGTGGCAAAGGTGGCGGGAAGTGCCAGCAATGTCGAGATATCGTCCGTGCAGTTGAACAGTTTGTTGAACACAGGATTCATGATGGCGAGCGACGTCGCCACGGACGGCATGCCCGGGTCAACGCTGATCGTGACGAAGAACACCATGATCGACGTGGCGAAGAGCGTGTACATGCACGCCATTTGGCCCATGGGAATCGACCTGCGTGGCTCGACGACTTCAGCGCACAGCCGATTGAGCGACTCGACGCCGACGTAGTACCATGCAGTAAGAGGAAACACGGCCATAAAGTGGTTGAATCCACCGACAAAGTGGAGGGCGGTGCCGCCGCCGTGGGTCGCGATGTCCACGTACGGTAACGATCCGCACACGTACACGATCAAGATGGAAAACGAAAGGAGGGCCAGCGCCATGTTCCATCGCCAGTACACGTTGCCGCCCACGATGAGCATCCCGCTGGACAGGACGTAGCTGATGCCCCACGAGATGTACTGGTGGTCGGCAATGAGCGGCCAAAACTGCGCCACCATGCGCCCCAGCGCCACGAACGCGCATGTGACGTACAGAATATACTGCACCGCTTCGCAGCACCCCACGATAAAGCCGGCGTAAAACCCCCACGTGCACCGTGCGAGGCCAAACGCGCCGCCTTCGAACGGCACCATGCTCGACACTTCCGCCATGCTCATGCACAGCGAGAGGTAGGCGAATCCCATCATAATCGACGCAATGCCGTAGCTGACGGTGCCGGCCGACAACCCTGCATTCCACGAAAAGTACTGCCCCCCAATCACAACTGTGATCCCGACCGCCCACAAGTTGAAGCTGGCAAGTACGACTTGGGACCTTGTGGCGACCACTGGGGATGCCGCAGACAGGACCGCCGGTGCCTGGAGCGGGGCAATCTTCATCGGCTAAGACCTTATTTGTGTTGTGGCAGAAACCGCTCGAGCATGCTCTATCTTTGGCTCGTACAGCGCTGTTGACACGACCTTTCACGTAGCGAGGATATCAACAGCATCGCACTTGCTTCCCACACATGACGACAGGCACGTTGTGATAAACTCAATACATGGCAAGAGTAGAATGTTCCGTTCTTGCGAGTCACTCCGCCGCTCCTATTTTTACGTCGTCGGACGTGTGGAGCGTGCTCGACAAGACGACGACTACGAAAACATGAAGCAATTTGTTTCGATGAGCGAATCATGTCGTGGCAACTATGTTTTCAAGCGCCGCGACGACTGCGATTCTTTCATGGACGGTCCCTTGGACGCCCCCGAACTGCGCTTCTTCTTTGCGCCGACGTCGCCCAAGTGGCGCACGTTTGGATCAGCGGTAACGGCTGTCGTCGACGTTCCGTTGGTCGAAGGGCGCAGCGGCGTCGTCGACACGTTTTTCAGGCCGATTTTCTTGAGGAGGGTGCTGAGGGGTTTACCTTTTCCGCGCGAGTGGTGGCTGCGCTTCGAGTTGTTGTGGTTGGCTAGTCATGACCATGGAGCGTCTCATGCGTATACGCCATGGGCAAAAACGAGGAGTCTCGACTTACCGACGTGAGCGAAGAACAGCGCCTTGCGCTCTTCGTCCGAAAAGGTTTGCTTGTGTTTGGCGTAGATGTGGTAGTATACTGTGGCGACGCCGAGGATGCCCAGCACGAAGAGAAAGCTCGCCTGCGCATCGCCTTGGAACCCCAAGATTGCAATCATGGTCACGACCCAGATTGCAATCGCGTAGATCGCGCCGGCTTTCCCAACGGGGCTTCGGAATTTGCGCTCCATCGTGCGAAAGTTCTTCTTCAAGTAGATGTACCCGACGCACTGCGACAGGTACGAAATGCATCCGAGGAAGATGCACGTGTTAAACAGTACCGCGTCGAGCGCGCAGTAATAGTCGACGAAGCACAGACCAAAGCTGATGGCAGACGTGACAACGATTGCGTACGTCGGGGTTTGGAATCCCGCGTGTTTGCGGTGGAGAATGGCGGGCAGCAAATGCGATCCAGACATGCACGAAATCACCTTTGTGTACGCTTGGACAAATCCTTGGCCCGTGGCAAAGGTTGCGGGCAGCGCGAGCCACATCGAGACGTCGTCGGTGCAATTGAACATGCGGTTGAAACCATGGTTCATGGGGGCCAGCGATGTCGCAACATCGGGCATGCCGGGATTTATGCTGATCGTGACAAAGAAGACGAAGACGGCAGTCGTCACGAGGGTCAACATGCACGCCAGTTGCCCGATCGGAACGGTCACGCGGGGCTCCACCACTTCGGCGCACAGCCGGTTGAGCGACTCGACGCCGACGTAGTACCACGCAGTCAGCGGAAAGACGGCCATGAACTGCGCAAACCCGCCGACAAAGTAGTAGGCGCTGCCACCGCCGTGGGCTGCAATGTCCACGTACGGCAACGACCCGCACACGTACACGACCAAGATGAGGAACGAAACCAACGCCAGCATCATGTTCCATCGCCAGTACACTCTGCCGCCCACAATGAGCATCGCGCTCGACAGGACGTAGCTCAAGAACCAAGACACATATGGGTGGTCAACAATCAATGGCCAAAACGCGGCCACCATGCGCCCCAACGCCACGAACGAGCACGTGACGTACAAGATGTACTGAACCCCTTCGCAGCACCCAATGATAAAGCCGGCGTAAAACCCCCACGTGCATCGCGCAAGGCCGAACGCGCCGCCTTCAAACACGACCATGCTTGACACCTCGGCCATGCACAGGCACATGCACATGTACGCACAGGTCATCATGATCGACGCAATGCCGTAGCTGACAGTGCCAGCCGACAGCCCGACATTCCACGAAAAGTACTGGCCCCCGATCACGACGGTGATCCCAACCGCCCAAAGGTTGAAGCTCGCACTCACAATTTGCGCCGTCGTTGCTTTGGCAACAGGGGTGGCGGCCGAGGTAGCGACCGGCTGGACTTGCATCTTGCTTGGCCCCGTCTGTGACTTCGTTCCAACTGCCGACTGCAGTTTCGCCACCCCCAAGCGTTTCCTCCACCAAATTGAGCTCGTTGCAACGACATTCGACATCATGACGACGAAGATAAGGCGCGGTACTGTCTCAGAACGGGGAGGTTCGAACATCGGGTCAGCATTTTGCGACGGCGCCGCCGTGGTACCCAGCGTCGAATCTTGTCGTGTTGCTGTGAAGTTGCCCAGCAATGTCGTCGAGTCCCATGCCGCCCCCCTCCCCTGTGTTTTAAAACTAGCAATTCAACGGGGCGTCCATCTTGAAATGGATTTGTTGACTTGCAAACATGGTCTCCCCATTGTCCTGTAAACATGCCATCCACAGCGACGCAAGGACGAAACATTTTGGGAACTCTCCGCGTGGACTTCGACCCCTAATGCGTACAACGATGCTGTGCCATGTTGCGAGGAACTTGGATCCGTGCAAGGTGGCCCGCGCTATGCGACTCAAATTTTCGTGAGTGGCGAGGGCGGACCCACACCCGATCACTTGGACCATCCTCTTTTGAGAAAGCTGAGGGTCTCTTGGAGCGCAATAAATCGTATCGTCGGATAGGGCAAAGTCGTGAGGAGCATTTTTGGCTAGCACATTCGCATCCATGGATACACGATTCATGCCCAAATTTTTTGCATGCATATACACAATGGATATCTTGATGGAGTGGCTAATGCTGACTGGTGTGCATCCTTCGGGGCGCTTCGTGAACCGATGGCCCCTTGGAGGCTCCAGAACTGCGCTTCTTTTTGGCCGCCCCGCCTTGCAAGTCGGCGGGGGGCGACGTCGTCGACGTTCCGACAGTCGACGGCCGGGGGGTTGCTGCGACCGTCGCAAGGCGCTTGAGCCCCAGTCGCTTGAGGACAGTGTTCAATTTCCCAGACGATCGCTTGCTCGAGAGATGCGACCGCTTCGAGTTGTTGTGGTTGGCTAACATTCAAACGAGCACGCGCGTCGTACACACACCTCATCAAGTTGATCTGAAAACGTACCAACATGGGCAAAAAACAGAGACTTGCGCTCTTCCTCGGAGAACTTTTGACGCGACTTGGCGTACACCGCGTAGTACAAAGAGCACGAGGCAAGGACGCCAATGACGAGGGCGAAGCTCACTTGACTGTCTTCCTGGAACCCCGCAATGGACAGCATCGTGATGGCCCAAATCAGGATGGCGTAGATCGCGCCGGCTTTCCCAACAGGGCTTCGAAACTTGCGCTCCATCGTGCGAAAATTCTTCTTCAAGTAGATGTACCCGACGCACTGGGACAGGTACGAAATGCACCCAAGGAAGATGCACGTGTTGAACAGAACCGTGTCCAGGCCGCCGTAAAAGTCGACAAAACACAGCGCAAAGCTCACGGTGGACACACCAACGATCGCGTTGACCGGTGTGTGGAGCGTCGGGTGCTTGCGATGTAAGACCTCCGGCACCAAGTGCGATCCCGCCATGGCCGACACGACCTTGGTGTAGGATTGCACAAAGCCTTGGCCGGTCGCGAACGTAGCGGGAAGCACAAACCACATGGACACGTCGTCGGTCGTGTTGAATGCGTTGTTGAAGCCGAGTGTGATGGGCGAAAGCGCCGTCGAAATGGCTGGCATGCCTGGGTTCGTCCCTATCGAGGCGACAAAAACCAAGACGGCACTGGCAAACAACGTCAAGACACAGGACACTTGGCCGAGTGGGATGGTCACGCGCGGCTCGGCAACCTCTCCACACAAACAATTCAACGATTCGACGCCGACAAAGTACCAAGCTCCAAGGGGAAACACCTTCATGAATTGGAAAAACCCCCCGACGACAAGCATGTCATTGCCGCCGGCGTGGGCATGCATATCGACGTGGGGCAACGACGCCAGGACGTACACGAGTAAGATCGCGATCGACACCAAGGCCAGCGCGAGGTTCCATCGCCAGTACACGTTGCCTCCCACGATGAGCATGGCGCTGGCCAAGACGTAGCTGGCGAGCCAGGCGATCCAAGGATACGAGTGAATCAATGGCACAAAGAGCGCCACCATACGCCCCAGCGCCACGAACGAGCATGTGACGTACAGAATGTACTGCACAGCTTCACAGCAACCGACGACAAACCCGGCGTAGAACCCCCACGTGCACCGCGCCAGGCCAAACGCGCCGCCTTCGAACGGCACCATGCTCGACACTTCCGCCATGCACAACGAGATTGATACGTAGGCCAGACCCATCATGATGGACGAAATGCCGTAGCTCAGTGTTCCAGCCGCCAACCCAAGGTTCCACGAAAAGTACTGCCCTCCGATCACGACAGTGATGCCCACGGCCAAAAGGTTGAAGCTGGCACTGGCGATTTGAGCCCTCGTGGCACCGCCTTGCGCGGCAAACGGCGCGATTTTTGCCGACATCGTGACTTGATTTTCTCTGGTCACAAGGTGCCGCGACTCTAGATATATTTGGCCTTCGTGTGGCGTGTGCATGCAAAGGAAGATGTTGGTTATTTTAAGAGCAGGACCCCAACGCTTTGGCCATGTCAACGACGCAAAGTCGTCGAAGGCGGAACAGATTCAATGAATGCGCTGGAGGTCGCTGAAGGTGCGGGAAGGATCTGCTCTTCGTCAACGATGATGCGGTAGACATCCACAGATGCTCGTCCAGTGTCGTCGGTGTGGATGGCTACGTGATCCTCGCGGTACACGGTGTGCGCAATGGGGGGAGTCGTTGCCGCGGCGACAGGTCTTGGCGAAGGCAGTGCTTCAGCCGGACGGCGCAGACAACAACAGTACGCCACAAGGCAGCCAAGACATCCAGCGGCAATGACAGGCGCCAGCCATAGCCAGATGGACTCTCGAGGTGTCATAACAGGAGTTCCGGCGGAGACCACCATGAGTTCGCTCGCACCGGTGATGGGGTGGTGGGAGTTGGAATCCCTGTCCCATGGCGAAACAACTGAAGGGAATCTTTATCGTCGCATTTTTCATTTATGACACATGCTGTGGACGATTCCATCCCTCCGAGGCAATACTCCCAGCCAAAGCTGGAACAAGTCATCGTGCTGTCGTACACGTCGTCGTCGTTCTCGCCGCGATAGGGGATGGTCGTGCATGAGGGCTGGACAACCATCGAAGCATGGCGAGGCAGTAGAAGATGTGGATGTTGGGATGACACGCGAGTTGCGGCGAATTTCGAGGACGGCAGCGCTTGGCGGCAAACTGGCTGGCGGCGCATGACATGGCGAGGGTTGCTGGAAAGTGAAAGAGCGCGACATGCTGGCCCTACGCACGCAGGATGCAGCGGCGAAGATTCATGGCGTCGACCCAAGCTACGGAACCTTCCCTGTCGAGTTGGGAAAATTCGACCAATCACGTCGTTCCATCGCGGCCGCCTGGAATTTTCTGAGAAGAAAATGGCTCGATTCCCTTAACTGTAAAGACCACTTTCACAATGCAAAGGCCACCGCCACCATGGCGACGACAGTCCTCGGCCTCCCATGCCCCTCGTGCAGTCTAGTGTCGTGGCGCAGACATGCCAAAGTTGTAGGTTTGCACATGCCGTATTCGACCTGCCTCCGCCATGCCAAACGAATTGCTTGGCTCAGAGCTCAGCATCGAGTGTCGAACGCAGTTGGTAACGAAATGGAAGAGGAATGTCGAGAGTCTTCGGCACAAGGGATGGCGACGTGGCGACATCCATACACGCAAAATGGGGCCCAACAAACAGGTTTGCATTAACAGATGAGGTCCTTTGGATTTGACGGTGCCGAGTCAGTCAAGTTCAACGTGAGCTTGCGATGGAAGAGTTCGACGAGCGCATCCAAGCAGATTTTTGCGATCGAGGGGTCGTATCGTCCTATGGGATTACATGTAAAGTACATGAATCGACGAGTATGCACGAACCTTTGCTGGATTCGTCTCGGATGAAGGCATGGTCCGCCTTGAGTTCCATCCAGGCAAAGTCGACTTTGGCTTGCGCAAGGGCGTCGTAGATCAAGCGGCGTCCTTGGCGAGGCACATGCGGATCCTTCGTTCCGAAAATCATGAGAATCTCGCCGCGAATGTCGCTGCAACGGGCCAGCGATTCGACTTCATCGACAGCGCGCGGCTTGGCTCCCAGCGTTTCCGAGTGGATGTCCGTGCCAAAGTAGCACACGGCAGCACCAACACGAGGGTCCATCGCAGCACGGAAGGCCAAGTGTCCGCCGAGGCACATACCAGTCACACCTACACGGCCATTGGCATTCGGATGGGCGAGGAGGGCTGTGATGGCGGCTGTCGCATCGTCGTCGAACGATGACAATCGCTTGTCCTTCTTCAACTGGTTCCCCAAATCCGTGCCTGGACCATCGTACGCAAGAACGGTGCCTGGCTCCAAAAAGTTGTGGTACGACTCGCACGACGCAACGATGAAGCCGTGCGCAGCTATCTGACGACAGAATCGGGCGACAGGGCCCGTCACTTGGTAGATTTCGGTGAAGACCAAAATTGAGCACAGCTTTGTGTTGGAGTTTGCCGGGTCCAAGAGCAGGGTTGGCGTGAACCAGTGCAGACGCATCGGCGTCGTCGCCGTCGCGATATCGGTGGTTGTCTCGGTTACGAGCATCGTGAATTTTATGAACATGGATGCACTGGTGCAGTCAATTTAAACTGATTGGTGCAAAAGAGAGAATTTTGACTATAGACGGAGTTCATTGGCTACTCCAAACATATTAATGACCAATCAACGTTATTCAACCTTGGATGCTCGTCCACCATGGCGACGCGGTTGCCTGACGCAACTGGTGCTCCGTCCTTGTGCAGCCACGCTGGCGCAGCATTCTTTTGGTGCACTTATTTCTCGAGCCCTCGGGCTGCATACCATCGAAAGGCTGCTTGTGGTGCAGCCAAGAGCGTGTCGAACCTGGCATTCTTGGCCTGGATGTCCTTGCCGTCTCCCTTATCCCGGATAGTTCGCACGCCCTTGACCGCGGATCCCACCGGCGCCGTCAGTTCTTTGATGTCTTGACCCAGTCGACAGTCGTCTACAAAGTTTTGCAGCAACGCCTGGACTTGTAGCGGCTTGTCGTATTGCTGCTGGTTGGAGGGTTTCTTCTTGGATTTGAGGAATAGCGCAACATACATGACGGCCGACGCTTGGCTGCTCACAAACGGAAACTTGAAGCGCTCAGAACCCAAGGCGACCATCGCCTCTTCCGTTATACGAGTCAGCGCTTGCTCCAACCGACCAGGGATGGTTACGTCCAACGGGGACGACTCGACCAGCGGCGGCAGCTTTGTCGGCAGTTCCAGCGACGCATACATTGACGGTTCGAGGAGAAAGCGTTGTTTGGCAGCGTGGTCGACAAAGCAAAAGATGGTCTGGTGAACGCCGCCAAAATGTATCGACTTCCCTTTCGAATGGACCCCCAGTCCCTTGGACCCTGGCCGAGCTTGTATGTCACGGGGCAGTATCCTTGGAACCCGAGAGCAATGTTCATTCCATGGCAGAGCAAGGTTCCGATGCCTACATCGCGCGCCGACGGTGGCCCCGACGTCGCCGCGGCATCGAGATATTTCCCAGAGTTCGCCACAAACTCGGTAACACTCTTGGGGCAGCCAAGGTAGAACTGGAAGGACTGGAATTCGACACCCAACTCACGATCCAACGTGTGGCTCAGAACCACGCGGTGGGCGGCGAGCCCGACGGGGCAATATGTGGAGATGGTTGGGTGCAGCTGCACCTGGGACTGGGACAAACGGATGTTGTACGTAGGTGCAGGGCGGTGGGACGCTAGCGCCTGCCAATAAGTGGCAGTAGCATCAACGACGTCAGCGATTGCGCGATGCGCCTCGGCGACTACCTTCCACGCTGATTTTCCATCGACGGAAATGCTCTTGACAAACCCAACGCCGTACGTTTTCGTCATGGCAACAAACAACGAAACCCGCGCAGCGTGCCACGATTTGATGCGCTGGAGCAAAGCCAGCGACGTTGCTCCGCGTTTCTGCCCGTCATGGCGAAGTAGCTCGTATGGGGACCCTTCCAGCCACACGACGGTCGCCGGCAAGACGCCTGGGTCGGCGATTTTTTCCCATTCGACCCACTGCGCTACACTGGTCGGATAGCCATCGAGGACCCACCCACGAAGCTGGCACTCGAACGATCGAATTCGAGCCACGAGAACTTGAAGCAGCAATGCTTGTGTGATCGACGTCAAGTCGAATTCGGTGGTGTCGCTGGATGTTTTGAATTCCTGGACCTGTGTCCACAACGACGTGCCTCGTTGGCACGCATGTACCCACTGGAATGCATCGTGGGGCGAGACGAAGACAGCTCCAAACTTGGTGCACAACCCCTTGGCGACAGTCGTTTGGCCACTGCGCGGGCCACCGACGACCGCAATCGACACCCCCGGCACACTTGGACGAGTCGCTCGACTTGCAAATGACCACGGCGCCGCCGCAAACGCATTTACATCGCTCGGCACGTACACTCGCCCGCGATACGCGACGCACACCTGGGACTCGAGCGGGTCCGTGGAGCGATGGGACTCCCCGACGACGGGGCAGTGCGGTCCGTGGTGTCCGATTGTCCAGTACCCAGCTGCCACAAGTGTCCGCACTCGATCGAGGGGAGTGACGTCTAGCTGGCAAAAGATATTGGCCTTCTTGGCGACCCCAGCCTTCAGAAGACTTGCCAGGGCATCTTTTACGACACGCTGGTGCCCACGGTTGGCATCCACGCGGTCGGCAATGCGTACGCCTTGCTCTTTCAGAAAGTCGAGGGCTGCCGTGTACGCCTCAAGTTCCGCCGTGACAATGTCCGTGACTCGAATCGTCTCTTCTTCTCTCGCGGCCGCTTCTTGTGCAGCCAAACGCACTGCCTTTTCCTTGGCGTTTTCCTTTGCTCCATCGTCGCCGTCGTCGTCGGAAGGCGCCTTGGGTGATACGTATGCCCACGACTGCATCTTGCGTTGGACAGCCGTCACAGCATCGATATCCATGGGAACGACTACAAACGGCAGCCATTTGCGCGCCACACACAGCGCAAGCAAATCTAGCGACGGTACTCGCGACTCGGTGAATCCCAGTCCCGGCAAAATGTACGGTGCCGACCCCGCTCTGTCCACGGCAGCCCACTCGGCAGCCAAGCTTGTTCCGTAGAGCTGCACCTTCACCGCGTCGTCGATGTCTTCGTCGTCCGCGGTCCCTGCGTTGAATTTTTCAATGGTCACGAGGCGGTCATACGCCTCAAGCACGCGGTGAAAGTCAAATGTTGTGGCGTGCATGCGCTCCTCCAACGCTTGAGCCTGGCATGAACTTGACGTGAGAATTTATTGAAACGACGAATTGGATGGGCTTACCACAGCTCGACGGCCCGACGACGATGGCCCTAGCAACAACACAATCGGGCGAAACATTGTGGTCGCCGATTGGGGAATGTATTTGCATGGATTCCGGTCAAATGCAGCTTTCTCAGCAGGGCCGACAAAGGCATACGAGCGCTGTTTCATGTAGCTCACCCATTCGGTGGGCTTGCCCGGCACAAGGCGCCACAGCGGAGCTGTCGCAAACGTCACAGGGCAGAATGATCCAGTCTCGCCCCATTGTGCTCGCTGAGCTTCTTCCAAAGACGACATTGGTGGTGTGGTGCTGGAACTGCCGCCATCTTCGTCCGCATCTAAACGATTGAAGTACCACGGATTGAGCTGTCGATGAAGCGCCACAACAATGTCGTCGTCGGTTGTGGTTGCGTCCACGGGAATTGTGATGGTTGTCGCGTTGTCAGCTACAATGCTGGCGAGAAGCGCTTGGACTGAAGCGCGATGTTCCTTTTCTTGATTTGACAGGGGCGCGTCGTCCGGTCCGGGCGGTGGTGGATCGAACACAAGGACAGCATCTGGCAATGCCCCAAGCTCCTTCATCGACGTCCAAGTCGCGGTGGCGATGGAAACCCCGTGGACTATCCATGGGTCCTGCCCTTGCCCAACTAGATGCTGCAGCACCGCGTTCGTCACCACGTCGTGCGGAATACTCTCCCCTGTACGCAGTTTGTTTGCAATTTCAGGATCGGCCGGCGCTGCCAAGATCTTGGTTGGCTCAAACACTATATCCTTGGCGCTTGAATGGCCAATGCTGGAAGCGACGGCGGCGACGACCCGTGGCAGTGAAAACGACGGTGGGGGCAATGTCGTCGCCACAAGGACCCAGAGGCGTTTGGTGTGCGTTTGGAGCCGCGGGAGCCGCAGCTCGTGCAGAGGCGAGATCACGCGCTCGAGGAATGGCTGGGGACTCACTCGGAACGTTCGAAGGGCTTCGGTAGATGACAGCAAATACACCTGCGCACGAGGGAACCATGGGACGATGAGCTGCCACATGGAGCTTCAACCTACCCGACCAGAAAAGAGCGCTGCAAAGGCAGGAAGCCCCTGACGTTTGGGGTCCACGGGGCAAAATCCACGAAAGACTGAGAGCTTCCGCGGTTCCGCTGGCGGTACCAAGTGCTGCACTGGCGCGAGGACGCCGCCGTCTTGAATCAATGGCGCCCAGTCCCCGTAGAGGAGCCATCGGATTTGATCCCCTCGACTGGCCGATGCAACCTCCGGCGGCAACTCGACATGCACGACGGACAAAGACGGAGGCAGTCGCGATAACGGAGGTCGACTCTAGCGGCACGACCACCGTTAGAGCACCCGACCCGTTAAAGAAATCGAAGACAACGATACCCCCGTAAGAGCCGCAACGGCCTGCTGCAAGATTCCAAGGGGCGATTGGTGAAAGGCTATGCGCACGACTTGGGTGTCGGCCGGCACGGTCGCCAACGTTTTGGCCACGCTGCGTTCGTACGCGCTAAATTCGGTCTCGAACGTTTGTAGCCACAAGTTGCCGATGTTTAGCACACGATCTTGATTGACGGGCAGCAAGTACGGGGCATAGTGGTCCTGCAAGCGCAGTCAGCGCATGTGGATGCATGAAAACCAAACAAGGCGCACCAAGGATAGGCGGGGAAACCGACTTGGCGCGAGGGAATCGACAGGAGATGCTGTATTCGCTTTCGCGGTTTCGTCATCTTCTTCATCCGCATCCTCGTTCTCGGCGTCATCGTCCGATGTCGGCGGTGTGACGACTGCAGGGGGCGGGACTGGAGCTGCTGCAGGTTCCACGTATGTATCGGCAAACCCGATGACGCCAGTGAACTGCGCGAGATCGCGGGCAGAGTACAGGAGTCGTCGTTTGGGACACAGCGAGATGGACGCGACGTGCTCGGCACAGTTGGCTTGCGACCCCGTCAAGCACACGACATGCGTGAAATGCAACTACATTACAGCATGTAAGCACCCTCGAGCGCCGGTGTCGACGATGCAAAGGGAGCTCGGAATATGGCCGCCACGTACACCTAGGAATGCGTCGCTGCCCCACGCGTCATGCGGATACAGATCGTCCACGAGAAAGCCTTGGGTGCCTAAGCTGCTTCGTGAGCTTCACCTGTTTCGCGGGCTGGCGCTGTACCTTCCAATGAGTCGACCATGTGATACAACAGCGCAGCGACGGCATCTTCGCGGGACACGGTTCGACCGGACAACAAGACCTCGCGAACTGTAGCGTACAATGCTGCCCGAGGAGTGACGTCTGTAGCATCTGGCGCAGGGGGTGACGTCTTGGCTGCAATCTCAAGCACCAAGGGAATGGAAAAGTAGATCACGCCGAGCTCTTTGGCAAGGGCCATGGCGAGTCGCGACTTGCCAGACCGTGGCGGTCCAACGACGCAAATGCCTGGCCGCGGGGCGATATTTTGCAATAGGTTGGCCACTTCGGGGTCCCAAACTTCGGGCCGGATGCGATCCGTCATGAACGGAACATGCAACGCGCTAGCGGCAGGTTTTGCAGCGGCGACCGCCGCGAGAACGCTGGTCTTCGATGGCTCTCGCAGCATTCTCGGCATCGGTTGCTTAGCCTGGTGCAGGCGGTATTCCGACTCGAGTTGGCCCTTCGTCGTGGCGTGTAATTTCTGCGAGAACGAACTGAACAATTGCGTGTGGATGGCGCAAAGGATTGCTCGGAAGGAAAGAGTCTTCCACTCGGCCTGCGAGATCGTAACACCCGTGATCCAGTCGCCATTTCGATTGTTGCGCAAGAGAGCGTCGGCATCGTTGCTCGACAAGTCTATTGTCTTTGGCGGCAGCTTCTTCAGCTCTACAACGGCACGGCGACTCTCAACCTTCCATCTTCCGTGCACGTATAAAAAAGGTAAACCTGAGTTGGTGCGCCAACGGAACGGGACAACCTCCTTCAGCAACGGCTGCAACTCTGCGGCCGTCGCTTGGAAGAAGGCGTCGTTCAAGTCTGGAATCGTGATGTGTCGCCGGACGTCCATGAGAAAGACGCAATACTACACCACGCCGAGGAGAAATCGATAAAAAGGACGTCGAGCTAGGCAAACCTCGTGCGAGTCGGTGTATGGGCAAAAGATATCGCAGATTTCAAACACGGCATCGGTAAACTCTGCCAGATTCAGCGCATCACGGCCACGGGCATCGTACGGCCAATCTCGCTACAAGGACATGTTTACAAGGGTGTGTGGTTGGCAGGTCGCGTACTTTGGCGAGTTCTCGGGCGGACTCGAGGGTGCTGTTGGTGACGACGACATACGCGACGAGCTGAAAGAAGTCGAGGTATGCGTCCTATGTAAGCCCAAAGACAACGTTTGGTGGGCATCTGTGGCTTGGACCGCCACGTTTACCTCGTGCAATCGGCCGGTGGAGTCTTTTCCCGTGAGACCCCAAAGAAAGTGAATGTGCGCGAGCAGTTCCTCGTCGGCCTTGACTGCTTCGCGGCGCTGAAAACTGAAATCGACGTAGTTGGCCTCGCCCACTTCGACCACGTTCGCCTCGACGCGCTTGGCCACGAAGAGTTGCCGCGACATCTTCGCTCGGGCGTCGCGTGGGGAATTCAACAGTCGGACGTGGCCGTTTCACGTGTAACCGATAACCCACCGCATGACCACAGACCGTGCCAGTGGGTCGCATGCCAATCGGGGCGTTCAACATGCGGCAACACCATCAGCCTTCACGCACCAGGCTGCGCCAGACCGCGCGCTTTGTTCAGCACGTTGAAGTCAGGACGCACTTGCCATTACCGTTCATGCGGCCAGGGTCCAGCCCCATCCGAACGATGCTGAGACAGGACGCTCGTTCTTATGCGTGTGAGTGCAGTGCCAAAACCATGCACCCAGTCAACTCGGACAACCAGCAGACAGAGCGTGGCTGGCCCCAACGGTGTAGCCACGCGCCACCCACCATTTGCATCCACCCAAGGTGCCGCAGAAGATGCTCCGACAAAGAACAAACTTCTTGCAGGCGTGAGTATATCGACATTTTATTTTATTGCTGTATAAAATCAGCGTCTTTTAATGCTTTGACGAATTGGTTTGCTCTCTTTCGTGGCTCACCAAAATGTCAAAGGCAATGTAAAGAATTTGGAAGCCACTCTCAAATCTGTGTCAACGACTCTCCAATCGGAGTTTCCTTCCGCTCAAAGGATGGAACGATCGCGATGCGTGGGCGACACCATCCCACTCGGCAAAGCGCCGTGCCGTCACTTGACGCGTGGCGACATCCTACCTCATGGCACAGTCTCTTCCCGTGCGAATATGCATGGACACGTCGCTAGCCTGCGACCTGTACCTCTATAACGACTACGACGACCTCGACGAATTCGAGCTCGACGTGATAGCCCAGTTGAGTGCTGCCAAGATGCCGTTGACCCTCCCCGCAGACCCTCCACTTGTGCTCGACCAAGTCGCGGCCCGTCACGCAAATCCATGTACACAACCGGCAGTCCAAGTGGTACCCATCGACATGGGTCGTCGGATTCAACTCGAGTGTGCGGTATGTCTGGATGCTGTGCAAGTGCCAACAGCTACCACGTGCGGCCATATTTATTGTCGAACTTGCATCGTCGAGTCCCTCCACGTGCGAAAAAAGTGTCCCATGTGCATGACCAAGCTCACGTTTCGCAACATTCACCCGCTTTACTTCAATTGAATTGTTTCGTTTGGCGTTTACATCGCTTGGTTGCCCACTCGGTAGGAACCATCAAAATCCAAATGAAGTAGCAAGTCCTGCAGCACAGGCAATCCTGTCAGCCTTGGCGTCTACCAGTCGTCGTCGTACCTGCGCTGCCGGGGACGAATCACGCTCCAGTGTGCTGCAAAGGTCTGTAAAATCTCCGTGGGTGGTCGTGGCCAAGTGCTCAAGCACTCGCTTCAACGCAACGGGCCTCGTCGCGTTGTTTTGAATCAATTCGACACCTCGCATGATGTGGTGGAGGCAGGCTTGAATTGCCAGCTGCACCTACCCCAGCCACATCAGTCATGGCACACTAGAAGGCGACGACAAATCCTGCGGTAAATACCTCATGGGATGGCCTGTCGAGGAAGCATCTGGACAAGACAAAGTCAAACCCCAGGCGCGTGACACGCAAGACGGTCGCACCTGGTACTGACGGCGTTGATATAGTTGTCGTGCAGGTGCTTGAACGCCGCGGCGTCCTGACAAGCGTCAGCCTTGCGAGTGAAGCGGTGCCATTCGTCTGCAATCGACTATTGCATGGATAAGAAGCTGTGTTGCAATGTCGTAGTACCTGAAAGGAATGCGCAACTAGCGTCGTGCACAAGTGGTGGTCGACGTGCGCTCTCAAGTGACCCGACCGCGTCGCGACGGTCGGGTGTGCCGTCAGAATCCGCCGAACGCTTTGCAACGACAGCGCAATCGCTTTGAGTTGAAAGAGGTGTTTGTGCAGCACAGCATACTGCTGCAGCGTCGACTTGGACACGACCACGTCTACCAGCACCGACGGCAACGCGTACACAGGGTCAATGTGCAGCAGCACTTGGTCAAGCGAAGGGGCCATCGTTGGGTCTCCAAGGACTATCACGTACAGATGAAAATTGCATTCCAACTCTACCGAAAGACGTACTCGTTTCCAACTCGTCTGTCGGGCGAAAGGCAAAGAGCGCTGTCGATTCGGTCACGTGGAAATTGGCTTCGTCCAGCGCGTTGGCCAGCAAGTCGTTCAACGCTCCTGGCACCCCCCAGTTCACACGACTCGCCGTGTCAAGCCCCAGAATGAATTCTTGCATGAAGCGGTCGACCCACAGTCCTGTCCAAGATCCCTTCACACTCGGGTCGCTTCGATCGACTTACCTCCACTGAGCAACATCACGTCGTGCAGCGTTCCCAAGTGTTGCATTAAGTGGACATGCTCGCGAAGCACGTTCAGCGCCACCGTGCCAACAAACGCTCGCTGGTTCAAAACGGGACCCGTCATGCTGACTCGAACAAGTGTCTCGACGGGGGCATACTCCATCGTGTTGTCCTACCAATCATCGCACTGCACCATCAGCTCGCGCATCGGGGCAAGTTTTCGTTACCATGACCATCAATTGCCGGTATGTTTCCAATACGTGCGCATAATCCGACGTGAGATGGGTGGGGGCAAACACATCTTGCTCCAAGAGTCTTGTCGGCTGGCTCGGTCCCTCCTGCGCCACGGTCCACTCGATCGTAATGTTGTTGTTTGGATCAGCGACCTGTTTCTTTGGAGTGTCTTCGTGAACCCGAAATACAAGACTCGACACCGAGTCGATGCCTCCACCAGAGGGAGCCAATACTTTGACGCTGGGTCGACTGTGGACACCCAAGTTGGCAAATTGGGCGTACAAAGTGTCGCCAAGCGCATCGCCGTCGCCACCTGGAGGGTGCGAGACACGCACGGATGGTCGTCGAGCGGGCTCGTGCTCGTGTGTTCGTCCATAGAGCAAGTCGCTGGCGCTACTTCCATCTCCACCAGGCTCTTGGAGAACCTTGATATGGGTCACGTGCGCATCCGCACTGGCTTCGTTGTCCGTTGGATACAGCAGACTCGACACTGCGCTTCCGCTCCCGCCTGGTTCTTGCATCACGCGGACAGACGACACAACTTTGTGCTCCGTATTTCCGTCGACTTTTCCACCATAGATTGCATTTTCAGCACCGTCACTGTTGCCGCCAGGTTGTTGACGGAGCCTGACTTGGGGAGCGCTACATGAATTCTCCAACTCGTCGCCATGGTAAATCGCATTGCTTGCCGCGGCTCCGCTCCCACCGAGCTTCTGAGTCACGCGTGTCGTGTACTCGACACCTAGCTTGGATTCCTGGCTGTAGATGGCGCAGGCTGCGTCACTTCCACCGCCACCCGGCGCTTTCAAGACTCGCACAGAGGTGCTGTGGGGGTTTGCCGCCCCATCAACGCTGAACGAACAGGTTGAGTTCTCCAGGGCGTGGCTATCGCCTCCGGGTTGTTTGAGCACCCTCACAGAGTGTTTCTGGTGCCGCTCAGAGTTCGCGTTGCCGCCAGGCGCTTGGAGCACTCGAATGGAGTTGTCGTGGTCTGTCTGGTCTAGTTGTAGGAGCTCAGTTGCGGAGCTGTCGATCCCTCGATGCAATTGTCGACTGGTGGGTTTACGGTGCATTGGATCTGCTTGTGGGTTGCGAGCGAGATCGATTCGAGCAGCTGCACACAAGGATGAAATGCCAAAGCAAACTTTCGTGTTGAGATCATACCTGCATACCAAGCCGATGATTCGTCCCGATATAGATTTGTGAGGGCTGCTTTAAAGCTTTCGCTTCGTTCCACGCGAGCTTTGCGCCACAACGCTCGTCGGTGCTTTCGGTCGGCTTCTGCCATGAGTCCTTCGTAACTAGGTATACCGTGTTGCGCACAGCATTTACACGTGTTCGAGCATACATTTCGAGCAGCCTCGCTTTATCTCGGTCGGCTTTTTCCTGAGCGGCGACCGACTGTTTCCGTTCCAATTCTTGATCCATGAGCAGTTGCTGAGCCTGTTGCTGGACTCGCAATTCGCTCTGTTCGGCAATTTGTTCGTCCAGGAGCTTTCGTTGGAGTTGCTGCCTCAGCCGCTTCATCTCTCGCTGCATACCGTCGTAGGCACGAGCATTCTACAACCATCTCAAACGAGCACGAAACTAGAACGCGTGTACCTCGTGCGCATTGGATTGCATCGACTTCTCCACCGGCGACGACGACATTTGGAGCGCAAAGATCGAGTCAGCAAGAGCCTGCATCTTGTCGTCTGCGTATTTCTCCACGGCAGATCGACACATTTGCAAGTTGGACGCGTGTTGCTCCAGGTACCGCTGCAAATCCTGGTATAAATGCAAACAATTGACACAGGAACGTTACCTCGATGCCTTCGTGATCCGTCACAAGGTGAAGCGACGCCCACTTGCTCTACTCCAACGCCGTCGTGCCTTCGTCACGAGAGTTCGAAGCAATGAACGAGCTTACCGAGCTGAGGTAGTATAGGTGCGATTGCACTGTTCGCGTCACTCGGAGCAATGCGCCGGTTTCGGAGATCGCGCGGATGAGGGCCTCGTCATGCTGGAGGCAGTCCAACGTGTCAAACATGCCGTCATGGGCGAATTCCACCTACTCAACGATCGTATGGTCAGGACGACAGGCATCATTTTACGAACGTCTTCGTCGGTAGACTCGCCGAGGTAGATCCACTGTGTCAACGCTTGAAAGTACGGCTCGCTCAGTTGGACGAAAAACCACATGGAGATCGCGGCCGCGGCGGGGTCGCAAAATTGAGATCGAACGATTGCATGATACACCCGGTTGAGCATACCCACGCCAGTAGGCAACATCGACATGATAGCCTGCGCTTCTGTCAGTTCAACCCAAGGTCGAGCGCTACCTACTCAATACCTGGTTCTCGACCCACAGGTCGTCGTCGTCGCACATGAAGAGCATTGCGACGACCTGTAGACGCCGCCGTACCGTGGACGTAGCCGTCCATACCTTTACCAACGTCCTTGTGTCCGCTTTGCGCTCCAGCACGAACGCCTGAAGGAGAACTCAACAGATGCACCATGCTACAGGAATGTTGTACGTGTTGTCCTGCGAGAAAATACTGAAGCGCATTCCCCATCCGTTGGAGCACACGACCGCCGCGTGTGCCGTGCTGGCCGAAATGCGTCGCCAGCACAGAAAGCCGATGAACGAGTGTTCCCGTTCGTGCAAACACCTACAATACATGTGAAACTGGCACTCAGAATGGCTTGTACACCTGAACGAAATTGGCGACGTCGATCCGAGTGGTTGTCCTCAGTAGGGATGCAGTGGTGTGGTAAAAATCAAACCCGCGCCGTTGAAAGAAGGCCGACTCGATGCCATGTAACACTTCGAGGATACCCTATAGAGCTCTCAGTTCCAAACATGTGTGCTGACGTGGCAAGATCTTACCGCGACGAGAGCGACCTCCGTCACGGCCGCCACGTCAGACGAGCTTGCGCTTGCATGAGCGTTGTCGCCATGCAAGCATCCGCCCAGCATGCTGCGATTCTCCACATATACTTTTTTGGGCCCAAGATTTTCCCACACTTGAAGCAGTGATGATTCTCCCGTCGTTTTGGGATGCGTCTTTGACACGGTCGATGATGGCAAGTCGACGTCCACGATTGTCTTGTGCGTGGAAAACAGCAAGTTGCAGTCGCGCGGGTTGTCCTGTCGAGGCTTTTCGACTCGAACTGGTGCAGTGGTGTCGCTGAGCATTCGTTGCCGCCGAGGCAGGTGCTTGTTCGCTCTAAATGGACAACGTCGACTCAAGTACGAGGAGTGCCAAGACGATTCCGGCGTACGAGAGAGCATTCGAGACGAGATCCGGTGGAGTGTCATACAGAGGAGGCACACTCAAATGGAGCTGTACATGTTGATCCGTGGTGAGATGGTTTGGGTGGGCAATTCTTACGTCGAATCGAATGAGCTGCGCGTCTGTACGGTGGAATGCGCTGTGCTGCAACGCTCCAAAGAGATCGGCGGGCTTGATTGTGTCCTTTTCATGCCAAAAGTCGCTCTGCAAGGCACTGTGGCCAGGTAAGGCCGACATGGCATCGAGCATGTCCTTCCTACATCAGTCGTGGCCATACAGGGCGAAGTCACTTGGAACGACTCACGCATCTCGGTGGGAAACCGTGTCGTGCATATGAAACAGCGCATGCGGTGTATTTGCCAATGCTGCGTTCGATTGCACGACATATTCGCCCATTCGGCGGTTGTAGCACTGCGATGGATGCTGTTGTAGCAGCAGCTAGTAAAGTGGGCTGTCGTTTAGGGAAACATGGCACGCCTTCCAGGGAAAATGAAGGATACCTGCAGCACATGAGGACCAAGTCTAGTGTCGGCAAAGGAACGCCCGGAGTCTCCACCAGACAGTGCCAGAAGCACGCGTAGGATGGACAAGAAGTCATTATCTTGGACATCTTTGCCTGAATAGAATGCATTATGTTCCATGCACCAAAGTCATCAAGATGGAGTAGATGCGTACTTTGAATACAGTGATCAATGACGGCGTCGACACCATCAGCAATCTGCAACCTGATGCAGTCGATATCAATGAGGCGACTTCGCAAATGGAAAAGTGACGGACAAACTGTGGTGTTGTCGGAGATAATACGCCAAGGAAGCGTATTCGCGAACGACAAAAGCGGCAGCGTTGTCATTGTCTACCTCGACGGTTGTGGTAGCTGCCTGTATCAGAGATACACCCGTCAGATCGAAGCAGGCGACGGCCCGTCCGTCCTACGTGTGTAAAAAGCAGAATGGCGAAGGCATGACGCAAGTCTTTGATTGACCCGCTTGTGCCCACCTACGTATGGATAGAGTATTCTCTCGACTGACGTTGTTGCCCTGACCTCCAGCTTCCGAAGGGCTTGGAGAAGGCCGACGACGCTGCCCCTTGATGGGATTGCGTCGCCGATCATGGTTGCGATTGCACTTGTCCTCCTAACATCCGGATACAGCCACTGATTCTTTTCAGTGACACAATCCCAAATAAATAATTCAGATAAATTCAGAAAAGATAAGTGGGATAAAGTTGCATTGATGATGGACATGGAGTGCGAACGTCGCCGCCAGGTCGAAGAAGGCAAGCGATGCAGATCGAGTCGCCGACTTTTCCGAGGTTGCGAGCGGTGGAATGGCATCGTAGCTACCACTTCTTTGGTCATGGCAGCACGACAAAGCGAGCGACTTCCAGGACGCAATATAGGGCCACTCGATTATACTACGCTAAAACTCATAGTCGCTACACAGACTGATGAGGGACGGTCGGGCTGCGTCGTCTTGGTGCGTTGAATGTGGTCGCTTGAAGTTGCCAAAGCTTTGGGGCAGTGGAATCAAGTCGTTTCGAGGAGACGACGGCACGCCGAGGCCGACCTTATCGAATTCTTCCTCCACGAACGCTGTGGTGGTGGGCTGCGCCACGCGCCTCCACCGGTCAGGACGGCATTCCTTTGTGCTATCTTGATACGTATAAGCAGATGTGTGGGCTGGACCATGGTCCCATGTTCTGTACTCGTGCAGGACGAGCGGTTGCAGGTATTGCGCATTGGTTGTGGTCTTGGGCGGCGGCTGGTGTGGAGGGACGGGTTCCGAGTCGATACAAAACTTGGAAAAATCGTGGGACGTCGGTGGACTCAGCTCTTGGCTGGACAGTGTCGTCGTCGTGGACGATCGAAACGATCGTTTGGGCATGTTCAGATGATGCTGGGCGAGATGTTGGTGGAGAGCTGTCGACGCCGCCATGGTGGGCTGCGGGGGTTTCACAACGTCGACGGTCGCTACGTCCTCTTCCAGCATTCGAATTGCCATGTGCCCACTGCGATCTGATGACCGAGAGTGCCGCTGGCTGGATCGGGGCGACGACAATCGCGTTGGGTGCTGCTGGTCAAACGAACGATGGGCACTTCGGTTCATTTCTCTGTCTTGATAGCCAGAATGCTGAGAGCGCGTAACTCCTGGGCTGGACACGACGAGGTGCTCCGAGATAGACCGGCCAGCGTGACGTTTTGACATGAAAAGGCGTCGGGTCAGTGTGGACTCGTTGCTGCTCGTACTGCATGGCAGACAAGCCCGAACGGATTTACGCTCGACGGCGCCAAGCATGACGGTGGTCGAGCACACGTTGCAGATGGCCCCGGTGCAGAGCCGGCAGTGGTGTCGCCGTCGAAACAGCGTGAACGTTTTGAGGCACGTGGAGCAGTGCAGTTCGTCGCCGAATTCGACATGGTCGGCCACAGCCACCGACACATCGCGGCACATGACAGCGATTTCGTGAACGAACGTGTACGCCATGCGCTCCATCCACTTTTCGCGCTTGCGATTCCGCATGGCACACAGGATAAAGCTGACACGCGATACGTCACGGTCGTGTGTTCGTTCAATGAGAAAGCCCGATCGATTCAGGTTGACGCGGGTGGCCGAGGAGTACGGGACAGGAAACAGATCGACGGCGTCCCATAGCTGCGTCATGAACTCGATCGAGGCGTCGGGTGCAGTCGCCAGATCGAGCTCGTGTCGACGGCTATCGTAAACTTTTGTGTGGCTGAGAAAGATAAAGTCGTGATATTCGGCGCCTTCCGTGCCAAACGTCATCCAGTGCAGGTGTGCTGTGTCGTGGGGCTTGCCAACGTCTGTCGTTCCACGGTGGATGGCTCCAAGCGTGTCGCCGCGATGAAACCACGGCTTCCCGATCTTCGTCATGACCTGGTGGAAGTGATTGCCCAAGTCGAGGGAAGCCGCAAGCGGTCCAACTTGGCTTGACGCGTTCACCGACGCTCTGACCATGTAGTCGCCAGATGACGAGTACCCCTGGCACAACAACACGCCATTCTTCTCCTTGTAGTACGTCCACTGACTCGACTTGGACGACGACGACGACACGATCGATGTGTCTTGATACAGAAAGTCGTGGCTCTTGACGACCGCGGCATGCATGAGTTTGTCGTGGACCGACGCGGGGAACCCATTGGCGGCGATCCCGTGTAGGCGGCGTAGGAACACGTTGGCCGCTTCGTCGGCAACGGCTGTTGGATTGCGAGCGTGCATCGACGACAGGGTCGGCCCGAGCATGGCACCGTGCTGCATGTGTCCTAGCTTGGCTCGACGCAGAGATGGTATAAACAACGGTGCCTCGCAGTGTGTACCTCCAAAAGTTGGGGTCCGTACCATACAGTGCCTTCCTCCATCAAAACCTGTGACCGCCGTGACACACACTTGGACCAGCAACGTCGATGCGGACGCTCTGGGCGACCACCCGCAGCATCTCCTGGCCCGTCGTCGACGTTTAACGAGAAAAACACGTGGCGTTTGAAGGACTTAACCCTCTTTGGCATGTCGCCAAAATGCTTCGACGATGCCGGTTGTTCACGGCGTCGGGGAACGTGGCGAATGTGATTCTCCTTGATGCAAATCACAGCTATGCAGGCTTCCAAAGTGTTTGTACAGGTCTTCGTCCAGAGTTGTGTTTTGTACTAGATCGAAGTGACCTGTCGCCGCCTGGCGCTCGTTCCGATGGCAGCGTCGAGTTTAGACAAAATTAACGTATTATTGGGTGCGAACCCAAGACGTGTACCGAAATCCATCTGAATTAAAGTATACTGCTTGCACTATCCTCGTCCACGCGACAACAAAGAGAACCCCGTCGCCGAAAACCCCCCAGTCGCGTGGGGAAAATTCGGTCAAAAATGGCCAAATTCGAGTTGCCGAGTGCAGACGATCGAGAACGAAAATAACGCTACCGACACAATCCGAGGCAGCCAGGGCTCACTCCCCCAAGAGAACTTGGCAGGGTCAGCAAACAAGGCGCAGGTTTCTGCTTGAATGGCGGACACTGGCCGTGGTTACAGAGTTGATTCTAGCGATGGCCACCCTCGTTTTAGCAAAATATTCGCTTGGTTTTCGAAAAAACATGTCAAGAAACTCAACCAATCCGAGCGACAGAACACTGTATGTGTCTGGCGACCTTTCGCGAGCAGCATCTTGGAAGGCCACACCCAAAAGGAATTCTGCGCCGCCGGCTTTTTGGCCACACCCGATTGCGCAGGTTCGTTCTTCGAGTGGGGGCGGCACAATGCTGCACTGGTCCAGAGGCGTCAATGTGCGCAGCCACTACGAAGCCCCAAGCGAGGCGTCCGATGAAAGTTGCTGCGCGTAGCAAGGCTCGGGCACACACGCACCGACCAGGTTTTGTTGATACTGTGTTCGACGATACACGGAGGGCTCAAGTCGTTATGGTTGTTGCTGCCTGATACTCCTTGCAACTGCTTCCCCCATCTACATTCAGGCGAGGGGCATCGTTCAGGCTGTATAGGGGCGAGGAACTTGCCATACGTTGTCTCAAAGGAGGAACCTGCTAACATTTGCCTTGGCGCACCCATGCGCAAATACTATGGTTGACATAACCCCTGGCAATCGCTCTTTGTTTGGACCTAGGCACAGTGTCAATGAACAAGGGTGGTGTACGCAAACAGTGCACAATTGCTTGGAGTGTCACAGACTGAGCTTGGCGTTGTCAGGAATGCACCATGCTGACAGAATGTTCGATACAGCACCCACTCGTCCCCTCGCATCAGAAAGTCGCAACACGCGCGGATGACCTCCTTTACAGACCAAACACGCTTCAAGTCCCCGTCCACGAGTATTCCGGCTCAAATGAGCACCCTCTTTCATTGCTACACATAAAGGCATGTGGTCCACGCAAAGCTAGTGCAGCACTATGCCTCCCTTCCTTCCGACGATGACGAAGACGGTTTTGGAACGACTGCATGCATTCAAGCCAGTGTCGGCCCCATGCACTTGTCGTCATTGACACGGTTCGTCTGTTCCCGTTTACATTGCACCGCCGCCACGTACAGCGCGGCGCCTTCCGTCATCTCTTGCTGTGACGTCGCACACGGCATCGTTGTCGACGCAGGTCGACCGCTCTGGACTTGCGAACACTGCACTTGTTCGGTATCCGGAAATTTGCGAAATTATCCGGAATGGCTCGTCCGATAGAATCTTTTGTGACCCTCAAGCAGGCGCGCGATGGGAGGAAGGCCCCCATGCGTTCCGTTGGCCTCGTCGTATGTATCGTTTTGCGCCAAAAAGCATGCCGACCCCATCGCAGACGTAGATCAAGTGTTCGAGTATGCTGCTATTGCATGCGACAGCCGCACGTTTCTTGACGACGGCGGTGTGTAGGAATCAATCCTTGGCACTGCATGTTGACAACATGGACCCGGAGGAGGTACGTGCCTTGAACCCGACGGTGATTCGCCGGGTCTGACGGTATGTCCGTGTAGGTTCGCATCATGTTTGACTTTCTCTCGAAGTGTACGACCATCGAGCATGCTCATGTCGATGTGGGCAAAGTTCCGACGAAGCGAGGTGCAATGCAACAGTGTCCGTCGACGCGCTGACGTTTGACAATTGTAGCGTTTCGCCAAAAGTTGATTCGCCTTGGCCTGGATGAGCCGTACGCTATGCTTCCACAAGGTTACCTCAAAATTATGAGGTACACCAACCATGTGATGCTCGCAAGTCCATCAACCATGCGCAGAAGCATCAGCGTCATGGCCTCCAAGGCAACGGAGCTCGTGTCTCTTCATCTAGCAGGCATTCAAATCCCTCTTGAAGTCGCTTCTGATCTCGCCAGTGTGGGTATACATCGTTTTTCATTTTTGTGTCCTTTCGTGACGAGGTGATGCGCAGGGACTCCACGCATGTCGTGCCCTGCAGTCCATTAGTTTCGAAGGCTCGAACTTGGGCGACAACGGATTGGACAGTGCGTGATCATGTTGGACTCTCCACAGCAACATCAGTCTTGTAGTTCTCGAAGAACAATTGGCAAACCGCCCGAGCTTGTGCCACTTGGGCTTGGCACACTGCAAGCTCACGGACACCAGCGCGCGGCCCCTCGCCCGCATTATCAGGGTATGTCGCATGGGTTGCTATGATCGCGCCTAGTCAATCGCGGTCGGATCAGGCGCAAGCTGCTCGCCGTGATGAAGTCTATTGGAGCACAACCTTGCGCGGCCAAACCGTGCCGAATCGAGGCGAAGGCTGTTTCCTGCTAAACTTGGAGTCGAATGCGTTTGGCGATGCCGCCACCGATATCTTGTGCCATTCGTTGTACAACGACAATTGGCTCTACGGTTCGATCCACTTGTTTTGCGACCATGCGAATTGCGTCCCTGCCGTAGGGTTGAACCTGAATGGAAATACCGTCGGGCCCCGCGGCGTGCTCAACTTTGCCGACATTTTGCAAACCAACACGACGCTGACGGTGCTTTTGCTGCAAAGCAACTCAAACACAGGTACGTGGAAGTGTTGTCGTCTTGACGGGCATGCGCTGGATTCGGGTGCATGCCTTGAATGACGAAGGAACTTTGTCTTAGACGACCGAGTTGCATCGTTTATCAATACGCTGCTACGGGATCGACAAAAGGCTACGACGTCGATGAATCATCCCATGGAGCACATGCTGCTCAAGGCAGTGCTCAAGTCGTGGGGGTGTCGCCGCCGCACGGCCGAGGACGATCTACTGGCAAAACTGCTCAACAAACGCAAAAAGACTAGCGTTGTCAGCAAAGTTGACCATCGCGGACCGAATCTAGTGCGTCGGGCAAGACCCACCGCGCCGTTCGTTTCTACATCTGTGGTGCGTGAACTTGCGCACATTTGCATGACATGGCTCTGTGCAAACAGTCTACCAAACTACGCCGACCGCCTTTGGCAACGTCCAGTGCCAGAACGACATTACACAGCGTGAAATCCAAATCAGCGGGAAGGCCACAAAAGGCCGTGGCGAAGTCGAAGCCGACCGGCGGGGGGGCGATTCCCTCGCTCGAGAATCGCGGCAATGTCTCCGACCCGTCGTTACGTCAAAAAGTTGATGCGGCGGCGAGACCTGTTGAAGATACAACGGCGCTAGACATGCTCGTCGACCAACGGGTGTTCCGGTCCAACCAAGAACCAACCTCCAACCCTGCCAAGCGTCAGGACGAGCAATTGGTATGGTCCGGGCAACAATCTACTCTCTGGAGTTCGCGGTGTTGTCTTTAGCTCGTCAAGTTGATGGAGCGCATCTCGACGCTCGAATCTGCCCAGGAAAAGGCACAAGAGCACATTGACCGCGTCGAGGTTGGCCGAACTGCAAAATCAATCCTGGTCATATATGCACGCTGACAAGGGTCATTCCAGGCAGAAAACGTGGCGCTCAAGCAGCGACTGCTCGCGGAGCCCAAGGGCGCGCAGCCGACGGCCGAGGCTGAAATGATTCAAGCTTTGGAGTCCGCGATTGTTCAGCTCACGGCACAAGTCCACACCCTCGAGAAAACACGGAAGGCGTCACCCAAAGCAAAACGCATCGTCGCCACTGAACCACTGACGGATGCCATGCTCGACGACCTGTCCGTCCAACTGAAGCGCAGTTTCGGCCTCGACGAGTAAACAATCATCGCCGTTGTACAAAGTATGGAGAGAAACGTCAATTATCGTTCAAGCAGGACGTGCGAAAGTCCTCTTGCTGTGGACCATACGTGCAGAGCAAGTTGCAACAGGTTTCGTTCAGACCGTGACTTGGTGCCGGTGGAAGTGACGGCCAGCGACGCGGGAGGGTCGTACGCATCGCTTGAGAGCAAAAGCACCTCCCATGTACACATACTGGTGGTCATGCCATGGCTCGCACTGAAAAGGCAGACTGGGTGGCCAGCGTTTGTCGGCACCCGAGCCCTTCATTGAACATAGTCGTCAGCGTTCAAACCGTCGTCGTCGTTGGCGCGTTTCGGAGGAAATCTGCGCTGGAACGTCAGAAATCACACACTTGCAATCCATGCGAGCGACAAAGGCAGCATGTACCGAAAATCGGGGTTGGGTAGGAATTCGTCCCCGACCCATGTGAACGAAATCCGATGGGCTTTGAGCCACTCGCGCATGGCGCTTCGTTTCTGGCTCGGTTTGATGTTGTCCAGGTGGTCTCGGAACAGATCGTTCGTGACGACGCAGCCATCGTGAGTGCCTACGCACACGACTCGACATCATCAGGACGGCCATTGCGATCTTCTCTGCGATGTCAAACGCGCCATACCTGCGTACTGAATGCAGTACGAGTCGTCGTAGTCCTGGGGTGGCGTGGCAATGATGAGCCCTTCCAGCACCATTGCCTGGAGCAGCGTGACGTCGTCGGGCAGTTTGGTCGGACTCACGTCGTACCCGACGTTTGCCATGCGCTTCTGAGCGCCAACCGTCTCGTACTTGAGCAAGTAGTCTGGGAGAAACGCAATCACTTTGTGGCCCCGAGCGATGTAGTGGTCGATCACCAGTCGAATACCACGGCACGAAAACTTGGCATTCAAACCATGGCGCATCGCGACGTTGGCCGCATCGACTACGATCAAGCACTTCCAGTCGGCCGGGGCAGCGCCGCTACCGCGAAAGTCCACAGGCTGTAGTTGGCGGCGTGCGGGCGTGTCATGTGAACGGTGGAAGGGGTGTCGTTTGTTCATGGCAGCGCTCTGTTTTTGCATCGGCGCTTGCCACTGCACTCCAGATAGAATGCCGCGAACACGACCGCTGTCAGGAGCAGCGTCCTTGTTTTCGGGGCATGCATTCGACATCGGTGCGCTATCGTTCCCGTCGTCATCAGCCGTGTTGAAGCTCGTTTCGAAGCCGCAGAACTCGCACATGCCTGCATCGATAGCTATCGAGTTCGAACACTGGGGACAGTCAGCTGTCATGGACGGCTTCATCGTCGTGGCCTGGGGCGCCACCTTCTCCACACGCTTGTACGGCAGATACGGCTCTGTCCACCCCATCTTGACGGCGGTCGAGACGAATCCCATGATTCGCACAAGACGCATCGACAGCACGTCGACAACCATTTCATCAAGAGTCGACGTCTCGCCCTCGTTCTGGCACCGCAGCACTCTGGCAAGTGGAAGGAATCCTCGCACTTCAACGTCGTCCCAGAGTGCCGGGCTTGTCCCGTCCCATGTGTCAGAACGGTGGTCGCTCCTGAGCTTGGCATGCACGAGAGGCAGGAAGCGTGACATGGCTTCGCGCAGCTTCGTCGACAAGGCATGGGAGAGGAACCACGGATGCGCGCGCAGCCAGTCCAAGCTTAGCGTAAGCGCGGGCAGGAGGGACTCGTCGAGGTCCGACGCCGTCACGGCTTCCACCAGAGCGGTCGTTAGTAGAAACACGAGCTGCAGCGCATAGCGGACATTGTCGTGGTTTGGCCACTGTGGCCACTCGGCTTGAAAGAACATTGGATCGTCCGTGATGACCGATGGGGCCAGCGACGTCGACCCGACTGGCACCTGGCAGTTGTGCACAGAAAACAGCGCCAGGGCTATCGTGCGCATGAAGAACGCTCGATGGTGCTCGGCGGTAGTCGCGAGTGCGCGCCGCCACGCATCGACGGCCGATGGCATTTCAAACTCGAGCTTGCAAATGTCGATGCTGGTAAACAACCGAGAAAAGCAGTGGAGCAAATGGGCGCTGCAATGTGTCGTGATCTCTGGCGAGTTGAAGGGAATGGCTGCGGCCGGGAGTTTGACTGTCGTGAGCGTCGTCAAGAGGTTTTCGCGGGCGCAGAACGGCGTAGCGCAAGCCAAGCTGCGACTGTAGAAGTATACAGCGTCAAGGGTTTGATTCTGGTGAAGAGCGAGAAGGGCCAGTTGGTTGTACACTTTGCCATTCGACGGGTTGTAGCGCAGTGCATGGTGATATTGAGTCTCAGCCATCCGCCACGACCGCGATGCTTTCGGCAACAATCCTTGGCCATACCGAGCGACGTCGCCAAGGGCCACGTACGTCATGTGAATCGAATGAGTCGTTGCGTGGCCGCGGCGTACTTCGTTGGAAGAGGACGACGCATTGGTCAAGCGCATGAGCAGGTTCGTGTAGAAGGCGGTGCATGTCGCCAACAGGGCGGTCACGGCGTCTCGCAGGTGCTGGCTCACGTGGCCGCCAGCGTGCGGCGCCGCACCTCGGAGTTTCCCTTGCAATGGGTCGATTTCTTTGTACCAGCTCATCCAGAGACGTTCGTTGAGGTCCTGCCAAGACACACTTGAGTCGAATCGCGTGGTGCGACTGTACCAATTTCAACACGGTGGACGTTTCCGAGTGTGCAAGAAGAAGCTCACAGTACGATTCGCGGCACGCCTGGCGAAGGCACGCAATGCCGCGCTCGTGCTCTGCCACGCGCGTTCCGCCGAGAAGGCGCTTGAGGTGCTCTTCCCATCGCTTGATGCTTGCCAGGAGCAAATCGGGGGCGACGCCTGTTGGGTTGAACCCAAAGGGGTACGAGTTGTCGAGGTCGTGCCGCGGCGGATGGTGCAAGACATGCTGGCTGCATGCACATGGTCAGGAACGCTTTGATATGGACGATGTGAACACGTCGTCACCTGGTTGAGTGCAACTTGGATTTCTCCTTGTGTTCTTGAAGCAGCGTAAACATGACTTCAGCGCGCACGAGTTTATTGACTGTCTCGTCCTCGACGCGTTTGACCATGGCCTCGTGCTGTCGGTCGCGAATCTCACGCTTCCTCTTTTCGTCTTCCAAGTGCTTGCGTTGGTACTCGCGTTGTTTATTGAGCTGTTGTTCCCGATTGCGCCGGATCAGCGTGATGTCGTCGGCGTCCAGCACAGTTGGCGCAAGCGCGTTCTTGTCGACGTCATCGTCGACTCCCTTCGCCTTGGCTTTCGACCGATTCTTGGATTTTCGAGGAGTGCCACCTGGCTTTGGACCGCGAGGTGGGGCAAGGTTTGCCGGTTCTTCGGTGGCCAATGGCGCTGGTGCAGCAGACGTACCTGCGTCGCCCCCACTTGATGTCTTTTTGCGGTAGCGCAGTCGCTGCTTTGCCTTCTTGAGGTCCGCTGAGTCGGGAGTAGTCGACATGGCCAAGTTAAGATGCGGTGGGGTGGAAGGGTGGTCATTCCAATCAGAAACCGCCATGCAAGCCTGGAAATGAGTAGCATTGGTTGGATAAAAACCGATAATTACTTCTTATTGACCAATCATACCGTTTTATATAGTACATTTTAACCAATCAAAACGTGACCTTGATCAATACCCTAGTTCAAATGCTGTCCAAAACTCGTCCGACTCCTCCTTGCCCCGAACGACTTTGACAGGACCGGCCGAGACGGAAGCGTCGCGCTGCACCCTTTCCACCAGGTCCTCGTCCGTCCAATTGCTGTCGCACGCGTCCCCGATCCAGATATAATCGCAGTCGCCGGGGACATGTAACCAACCCACGAGATGCGGCAACAGGTCGCTGCTGTCGTAGTCGCGCAACAGCTCCCACGATTCATCGTCCACGGATTCCATCACCCGAAATTGAGGTTTCGCGTTCGAGGGCAACGGATGCAGTGACGAACCTGCCGAAGCCGTTGTGTCCTCGTCTTGGTGTACAAGAGAAGGCGTACTCCACGCCACATCATCATAGTCGACTAGGATGGCGCCTTCCGATCTTGATGACTGTATCCAAGCCAAGAACGCCGTGCTTTCTCGGCCCTCCCACTGCACTACAATGTTCGGCAGGTTTGGTTCACTCCACAAGTGGAGATACCACTGCAACTCCATCAGACCTGAGCAAGCAACGTGATCGCGCACTCATGTACCTTGTGAAAGTCTTGTGTAGCTAAAGCCACATCGGCTTCCTTGGCATCTTGTCCGCGCCACAGATACGCCATCAAAGAATCGACAGGGTAGAGGTAAATGCAGCTGGATCGGCGTTGGACGTGCGAAGGAGGGGCATGGATTCTAGTGTGCGGGGAGAACCAGCAAGGTTTGAGGACCTTGGTGGTGAGGTCGTGCAGTGCGTGAGGCACATATCGGAACACTTGAGGTCGCTTGGCGGGGTCTAGGCGTTGGGCATGCAGTTCCATGAGTTGGCAGATGAACCCTGCGTTTGGGCTGCATACATCGCGTGCTGCTTTCACCTGAATCCGACACGATGGTGATGCAATGGACGAGAATTGTTGAAGGAAACCTCCTTACCTGGGCAAATGCCTGTTCGTACGACAGAGATTCCCGGCACATGAGGATTGCAATGGCGGTTGCGCACGATCTACTCACGCCTTGTTGGCACAACACGATAATGTTGTCCTTTGCTGATCTCGCCGTTTGAACTGCATCCAAAACACGGGGAAGGAATGGCACGATTTCTTGCGTCGCGCCGTCCCGCAATGCCAAAGTCAATACATGTCGAATGTTCGCTGGTGGTGGGTTCACGGGTTCGAATGGTACTTCGGACGCCAAATTGACCAAGCAATGCGGCTGCTGCGGCCATTGAACTCTGTGACCAGCGACGAATAGCCATGACCGAATCTCAGACAACAGCGGTGCGCACACCGCCAGTCGCTCCTTGCGCGACGGAGGGTCGACGTCCTGTGCAGACTGTTGGATTCGTCTGCCACCTCCAATGCTTTTTCGTGGTGCGGACGGTACGATACCGAACGCTTCGGTAGAGACCGCCGCCGGCGACGATGCCCGTTGACCCATCGGCAGGGTTGCGCGTGAAATTTGGGTATGAAACGTCTCTGACGGTTACATAGGCATCCGGATAATAACATTCGATATCCAAACCAGCTGAGGAAACTACACGACGACGGTGAGCTCTGGGTTACAGTCTTGAAGCTGCCGTTGCGTATTGCCGGGCGCTTTCGGCTTGGAGACAATGGGCATCGTCGTGACGGCCTTCACACGAAAGCATTTCACGTACACGACAATGGCAAAGATACCAAGTAACACGAGGACTATGGCCAGGACGGCTGAGATGACGGCACTGTTCGCCATGGTCTTGCCCAACACATGCTGCCCCATGTCTATCGAGAACGACTGCAGCGCAGCGGTCAGGGACGTCAAGTTTACATCCATATTGGGCCATGAAATCGACATGTCAGTGATGGCATCGGCGGGGGAAGCAACAGTCACGTCAGCATTGTGGCTGTCCCCGTTAGTGGAAGGTGGCCAAAGCAAGGTGGCACAGCTGGTTAAGTAAGCATTGTCTTCGTTCTTGTCCAGGCGACACAACCGACACGAAGTGAATGGAATGCAGCCCACTAATGTGGAAGTACCCGCGTCGTTGCACCGACGATCCAAGATTCCCACGGTGCCTTTAAGGGTCACGACCGCGGATGGGAGACAAGTGTTCAAATCGCACGGGTGATAGTCCAGTCCACTGGAGGCATTCACGAGGCAGCGTCGACAGGCTACTCCAGTCGACAAGCAACCCTTGCCTCCATAAACAGGGCATTGCGAATCGTAAATGGCAGAAATACCCGTGGATGGTTCCTCTGGGTACAAGTACGACGGGCAATTGACCTGAGATGTCGGCGCTACGACGGGGTACACGCTGGCAGGACAAGGGTTGAATGTGGATGAAATTTCTGTGTCGAACAGCTTGCACTTGCGGCAATACGTCTGCGGCACGCAGTTCGTGGCATCTCGTTCACATGTCTGGTCCGAGAACACGGACACGCCGTTGGACACATCCGTTGACGGTATCAACTGAAGGGCAACACACACTTGTACTCCGCTTGACGTAGTTGACGAAATTCCGACGTCTGAGCCAGACTGCACAAGGATGGCGGTAGCTGTTGACATGACGAAAGCGATGGCCGCGTAGTGAAGCACCAAGAATCTCATCCGAGATGACGAAGAAGGAATTGTGGCGAGTGCGTTGCCATTCTCCTCGAAACTGCCATCCATACGGATAACCAATGTATGTATCCGGAAAACCGTGCCTGCTGTAAAAATGAAACCGATCCATCGCTAGGAAATGGGCCTACAAGGCACTCCTTCGCCGCGACAATATCCCACGTCGACGATGTATTTGGGACTGAGAGCAAGCTGCGTATTCAACACTCAGTGGCCATCACACCAGCATGCATGCGCTGCGTAGTTGAACTTGTGCCCGAATTGGTGATTCGTTGTTCTCGACACTCAATGACGTGGAGAGTGGCATCATGTATTATTGCACTGTCCACGAGTGAATTGCCAACAACGCCATAGCAATGGACGCTTCCGTCGACTTTCCTGCGTCGGTTCCAACAAGGAGTTCGCTGAGTCCAAGCACGTCGTCCCGCATCGAGTCCAAGTCGTTCATCTCGGCGAATGCTTTTGCTCGCAAGCACAACCCATTGATATGCTCGGGACGTCGGTTCAGCAGCCGCGTTGTGTACTTGACGACGCCTTGCCAGTCGCGGGCATGCCAAGATGCTTTTGCCATGTACTCCAACACTTGGCACTGGCTTTCAAGTTGTAGACGGTCTGATTGCAAGACTTGAGCCCCAAGTGCCAGCACCTCGTCGAATTCCTTGGACGACAACGCGTCCATTATCTTGATTACGTCTTGATCGTTGCCAGCTACACCAAGGGCCATGAAGAGTTGAGGTGTCTCCATGAGTTACCTGACGAGGCATTCGCTATAGCTTCTTGAATGAGAGCACGAATAGCATCGTAGTACGGTGCATGGTGTCGCAGGACGAGATCGTTGTGACCTGCATTAGGGAACACTTTCAGGGTCTTCTTGGTTGTTCCACAAGCGGCATACAATTCTTTGCCTTGGCTCACTGGATAGCACGGAATTGAAGCGGTGAAAACGTTGCACATCTTCCATGTGCACAAAAATTGTACCTGGGGCAATCTCGTCGTCCTCACCGTGGATGATAAGCACAGATGTCGTCGCGGGTAATTGAGTCATTTTGTCGAGTGAGTGAAAGAGCTCTGGTAGCATTTGAAGCATGCCAGCTCCGCCTGGGAGCATCATGGCCATTTGATTAACCATAGGAAGTTGCAAGATGGAATGGAAGCCGCTCTCGATGATCAGGCCATGAAACTTGGATGGGAATTTTTTCGCCAAGTGAATTGCACACTGTGACCCAATGGATCTACTCATGACGTTTACTGTGAAAAATTGAAAGGATGGACTCCATGGACCTGCCAAACAAGACGACGGGCACGTTTGAGGTGAGAACCGAGTCAAGTTGACTTGCCACGAGCTCTGCATCTCCGAGGAGGCTTGACAGGCTCGGTTCGCTAGAGCTCCATCCATATCCCCTGTAGTCCACGACCAGCAAGGCTGTCGGGATAGCTTGAGATGCCAATACTGACGACGCTGCAGCATAATCTGGAGCAATCTCTGCATTGCCATGGAAAAGCAATACGACTGCTCCGTACGTCGGTGACGGTCGGTAGAAGCGGTAGCCCAGCGAAACTGCGGGAGAAGCAAACGTGCCATCGGTGGCGTTCGATGGAAGCAACGAGTTCTTGGCATGGGAGCGGGGATGGAACGCCACGGACGTGACGAGCGGCAGATCCCACAACGACATTTTGAGAATGCATTTCGAATTTCCAACGCGATTTTGGCCAATCAGAATAGTCCCCTTCTCGTTGGGGCGGATATCGGTGCTGTCATCGGAGGCAACATGCGCACCCATGATCTTTGTGCAAGTTCATGCATTGCTCTCTAGCATCTGCTGCACGTGGCGTGTCTGGGCGGATGCAAGCTCGAAGGAGTACGTGAACAATGCCCACATGTAAGTGGAGACGAAATCGACTCGACATGCTGATTGTCATGGCTGGGCAGCGCTCGCATCACAAGGAACGGATTCTCCACCATTGCATTCAGAGTGTGTTGTCAAGAGGCGCCGTGAACAATGCAGGTCAAAACGAGGTGAATGCTCACAAGGACGGCATGGTTCGAACGATCCCATGATATTAGCTACGCAAACGCCAGGACATGGTGCCTTCGCGCTCATCCACAAACGTTGGAGGATCGCACATGTGGCGATCGCTTATTGCGCGTATGAACACTACCTTGGACATACCAAAAGAGTTCTTGGTCTATGTCGTTCGTAAGCGAGAAAGTCAGAAGTCGAGCTGTTCAATCAGCTCGTGCGCGATTGCGTCGCTTTCTCGGCCTTTAGCATTTGACCCATCATTGCCGCCTATGACCGTATACGTCCAATGCGACGCAAAACACCATCCTCTATCGCTTAAACGAGCTTTCGTCCTTCGTGCGTACCTTAATCCATCCGCCATTACGTCTCGATGAATCGACGTGGAGTGGATCGTCCATCGTTCAACTGCCACAGGAACATTTCGATACAACCCAAATATTAACTGTTACAAGTTTTTTCGCTTATACGAATTGCTTGTTCTTCGCTTTGGCGCCAAGAAATACTAAGTGTGGAAGGATCTCCGTGTTGCAACCTGAGAGCGCAGGAAAGAAGGTAGCGCGAGTCGAACCGGAGAGAGCGGCGCGGGAAGATGCACATCAAGAGCGTTGTGGTGTGTGGATTCCGAAGCTACAAGGAAGAAGCGATTGTCGAGAGCTTCTCAAAGGGGCAGAATGTCGTCATTGGCCGAAACGGGACTGGGAAGAGCAACATGTTTGATGCAATTCGGTTTGGATTGCTGACGGAACGCTTCTCCAACTTGCGTCAGGAAGAACGACAGGCGCTGCTTCATGAAGGGTCAGGCAAACATGTTATGAGTGCGTACGTGGAAATCACGTTCTGCAACCGCGACGGGCGATTGCCGCTGGACACGGAAGATGTTGTCCTCCGTCGTACAATTGGGGTCAAGAAAGACGAGTTTTTCTTAAACCGCAAGCACATCACAAAACAAGACGTGAATCACCTTCTGGAAAGCGCAGGTTTCTCGCGCTCGAATCCATATTACATCGTGCAACAAGGGAAAGTGAATGCGTTAGCACTCATGAAGGACAGAGAACGCCTTGAGTTGCTCAAGGACGTTGCCGGCACAAAAGTGTACGAAGATCGTCGCGTTGAGTCGCTCAAGATTATTCAAGAATCTCAAGGTCGTCGCGAAAAGATCCTGGAAGTTATCTCGTATATAGAAGGCCGCCTCAACGAACTCGAGGAGGAAAAAGACGAACTGAAGGAATACCAAGACTTGGACAAGGAAAAACGAGCGCTCGAGTACATGATGCACGAGAAGGAACTACAGAGTGTGCGCATGGATCTTGAAGCCATTGAACGCAGCCGCATCGAAGAATCCAACGTTTCCAACGAGTTGCATGCGAGGGAACGCGAGCTGGCCGACCTAATCAAGCAAGCGAGCAAGGCAAGCCACCGAACTAGCGAAGGCATCGAAACGCTCAACAGAGAAAAGGCCAGGATGGAGGCGGAACGCAGTGAACTGATCAAGGCCAAGTACGCGTTGGAGATGGAAGTGAAAGAATTGACGGAGGGCGTTGCTCTCGACGCCACCACGAGCGAGTCGCTCTCGAAGGAACTGCACACGATTCAAAGCCAAGTTCATGAGATTGAATCCGAATTGTCGTCTCAGTGGATCCCAAAATTTGAAGCGTTGACGAGCAAGTTGAATGAAACGAAACAACAGCTCGCTACGAGTACTCTTGAGGCAGACGCGCTGGTAACGAAGAAAGGGCGCAAGTCGCAGTTCAAGAGTCAGAACGAGCGCGATGCGTTTTTGGCGTCAGAAATCAAGGAAATCGCAACTCTCATGAAGCGCAAGGAAAATGAGTGCGCGTCATTCCGGCAGTCGATTGCCACGTCCGAGCGCCAGATCAGTTATGCGCAACACGAGCTCAACAACCAAACCAACATGATGGCGAACCATCGCGCCGAGTTGGAGGAATTTGCCCACTCGTTGAAAGAACTCAAGGAAAAGCGCAATACGATGTCCGAAACTCGCAAAGATCGTTGGCGCGAAGAAGATGCAATTAACCACGAGGTCAAGCGGCTTACAGATCAACTCGCCAAGAGTGAATCTGTTCTGCAATCTACTATGGCATACGACGTCCGTCGTGGCCTCGATGTTGTCTGTGAGTGGCGTGACACGGGTAAGTTCCGAGGCATCTATGGCCCGCTCATCGAACTGGTGGAGCCTGTGGACGAGCGTTTCTGTATTGCCGTGGACGAAGCTGCTGGTGGTTCGTTTTTCCATGTAGTCGTCGACACGGACGACACAGCGACCAAGATTATGCGCGAACTCGAGCGGAACAACCTCGGCCGCGTCACATTTTTGCCTCTGAATCGGCTCAAAGTCAACGAGAACGAACAGTACTTGTCAAATGACGACGTGGTGCCGTTGATAGACAAGCTCAACTTCGGCCGAGACATCCGCAAGGCTGTCTTGACAGCATTTGGCAAAAAATTGTTGTGTCGTGACTTGGACACGTGTGCCGAGTACGCCGAGCGCACCGACATGGATTGCTTGACATTGGACGGCGACATGGTCCACCGTCGTGGCGGGTTGAACGGCGGGTACAAAGACCCGCAACGGTCGCGATCGCGCGCTCAAATGGAAGTGAAACGGGCTGAGAAGGAACTTGAAGCCGTGAAGAAGGAAGCCAAGAAGGTCCGGTATGCCGCCCAACTAGCCGATCAACACGTGTCGAGTATCATGGGAGAGATTCAAAAGCAAGACGCTGAAAAGCAACATGCACTCGAGTCGTACGCGCAATTACAAAAGGACAACGAACGGCTGGAACTGCAAATTGCAAAAGATACAACCAACATGGACGAAAAGCACGAGATGCTGCAAACGTGGACTCAAGTCATCGCTGACTTGCAGGCTAAGCGAGAAGTGCTAGAGGCAGAGTTGGGCCAGCCGATGGAAGATTCGCTGTCGGCTGTTGACTCTCACCGCCTCGAAGCTCTCCACACCATGATCGCCGAGTTGAAGACTACGGAACGTCGCCAGCGCCAAGAGCTGGAAACTGTGCGAAGCAAAAAGTCCAATCTCGAGACGATCCTCCATGACAACTTGCAACGCCGTGCCAAGGAAATCCAAGGCCAAATTGAAATATCCAGTGTGTGGTCTTTGCATGCCACAGAACGAAAATCGTTGGTGGAAATGAAGGCGGTGGATTTGCGTGACGCGACCCGCGCGGTTGAGCGCCACGACACGCAGTGGAAAGAATTGGAAGGCAAGGCGCGGCGGTTGGAGCATCAGTTGCTGCAGGAGAGTCAAGCTCTCGAGAAGCACCGACAGGATCTTGCTAACGTGAAACAACTCGTGGCGGAAGAATCGAGCAAGGCTGATCGCATATTAACGAAACGCCGGCGGTTGCTCCAGAGACGCGAAGCCGCGATGCGTGACATTCGGGAACTCGGGACGCTACCAACTTCCGAACTTGACAAGTTCAAGGCGTGCTCCCACAAAGAAATCTCAACACGTTTTACCAAATGTACGGAAAAGCTCAAAAGCTTTGCCCATGTGAACAAGAAAGCGTTGGACCAGTATGTCAACTTTTCCGAGCAGCGCGAGACGTTGATGTCCCGAAAAGAAGAACTGGATATGGGCGACGAGTCCATTAAAGAGCTGATCGAGGTCCTCGACCGCCGCAAAGACGAAGCGATACTGCGCACGTTCAAGGGTGTGAGTCATCACTTTACTCAAGTGTTTCGAGAACTCGTGCCAACGGGCGAAGGCAAGATGGTAATCCTGCGAGGAGAGGACACGGACAACGAAACGGACACGTCCTCGTTTGTGGGGGTCCAAATCAAGGTCAACTTCCGTGGTGAAGGCGACGCGTACTTGATGAGTCAGCTATCGGGGGGGCAAAAGGCGCTCGTCGCGCTGGCATTTATCTTCGCCATTCAACGATGCGACCCGGCCCCGTTTTATTTGTTCGATGAAATTGATCAAGCGCTCGACTCGACGCATCGGGCGGCCGTTGCTGCCTTGATTCAGCGCCAAGCCCACTCAGAAGAAAACCCAGCACAGGTATTTCACGTGTCAGTCGTCGAGGCTTCGCCAGGCTCATCACGGTGTGGGATGTAGTTTATCACGTCGACGTTTCGACCTGAACTCGTCATGGTCGCGGACCAATTCTATGGCATCAGCCACCAAAACAAGATCAGCAACATCCAGCCCATGACCAAGGAGGAGTCTCTCGACTTCATAGCTGACATTATGGCCGATGAAGAGGCCGTGGAAAGCCAACAATGACGTGTATGGCCAATCTCCCATAAAGCACGAAATTGACTCCCTCGATCGCAGTCGACTCTGTGCAGCGGTGATACATGTGTGTACCTTCTATGGCAACAGGCACAGTTAACGTAATGCAGGTACACAAGCGAAACCAGACGTACCCGAGGGCGACGAGGGGAGCGGGGCATTGGTGTCGTTGGGTGCCATTGAGCCTGATAACGACCGAGTCTGTTGTCAAAGGGAGATGATGCCTTGGCACCCATAGGAGAACGCACGAACGACTTGGCTCGACCTTGGGCACAGACGCCTCGACGATTTCTCGTTGACCATCCTAGTCGCGATGGTGTTCTCTCCAAGTTAGCCCGCACTACGACGCCACCTAGTACGCGTAGGACACGTGGAAAGGAGCCAGCATGTAACACGTGAGATACATGGCGCACATGGCACAGACGTCGACATTGGTCCCATCTGCCCCACACAACCGCGAGCGATATTACCCATCACGGTGAACACGTTGATCATCATCACCCCGCGACTTTTAAACGTTCACCAAGACGAAGGTTCTGGCTCGGCATGGCCACCTCCGTCCATGATGTGATTTCGCCCTCGCACAGTGTCCAGTCGACGTCAGCCCTGCGTAGCCACGACGGGAATCAAGGTGATCACTAGCCCATGAAGCTGGCGCGGCCGTTGACGGTACACAAACCTCGTCTGGAGCCACTGTTGTCGATGGACACGTTGTCTCCTCTGCCGCCCAACGGGACTCAGGTCGGGTGTGTGTGCCGGGGCGTGTAACATGCTCACAAGAATCGCCGCACCTCGCACCGCTTCTCCTCCACGGACATACACACCGCGGGACCCGCCTCCAACATCGCGTCGAAACGACGTCGATAGATATTCCCACCTATCCCACTCACTCCGGGGTCCCTGCGCCGCCGCTGACATCCCTTGCCGAACGGCCGCACTTAGTAATACTACTATGCCAACCGCGGAGCGAAGTGGACAAACACATGGGGGCAATGATGTACCGCATCGCAGTCCCAACAACTTGCCTGTCTACACCCACGTCGTCCCGCCGGTTCTCCACCTCCTCATCCACCTCGCGCGCAGAATGCACCGCGACGGACGCGACCATGGTCCATCCTGTGGGTGTAGAGGCCTCCCGACAAGACATTTTGTCTACACGAGGCCGTGTGGCAATACAGGAGCCAATCCGATTGCTACACATCGGGTGTCCTTGATGGGATTGGTTGAAAATAAAAGTTATAACCAATCACATGGAAGAAAGAACTCGCCATATTTGGCTACTATAGTAACCCACTGAGTTGCTTTACCGACCAGAACCAACTGACTCGTGCCCAGTTGTTTCCTCAATCGCATCCATCCGCTGAAGGACGCAGGCGCCAGGAGCGAGCGAGAGAGCGTGCGACAGAGACACTTCCGCGGCGGTATATGTACTACACCGACTCGCTCAACTACCAAAAGGAGGTGCAGACGAAGCAGCCCACGACAGGTACCACCAAGCACGGCCCCGACGCTCGTGGCCGATCGAATTCTCAACCAGGCAACGCCCCTTCCTCCCACATGAGCGTGAGTTCTTCCAATTCGTACGGCTCTGGCAACGGCAATTCCGCCGACGGCAGCAGCGCTTTGTATTTATTCCCGATGGTCGAGAAAATGTTTCGTATCAAGATCACTGAAGACATCGAGCGCGATCTGCGGTATCTCGGTCAGTCCCGCGCAGACGCGCTCATTTCCGAGTTTGACATGACGCCTGTCAAAGAACAAAAGGGAGTTCAGCTCTATGAACTGGCTGAGCAAGAATTCTACACGATGAAGGCCGTCGTCTTGACCCCCAAAGCCAGCATCCACGACGTGATGAACCTCATGGACATGGCGACCACCAACAGCTTCCGCGACACGATGGGAGACATCTTTGGCTCGCTCTTCCTTGACGGTGCCGTGCTGTACGCTTCTCCCAAGGACATTACTCGTCCCAACGAGAGTTTGACCGTCAACTGGATGGCCCTTCGGAGTTCCAAGTCGCACATGCCTCATCGTGACTACGTCTTCCTCAAGTACGGCGACTGCTTTGGCCGCGAATCGAGTCTCGACACCGATCCCCACGGCAGCACGAGCAACTCGTACGTCGGCGCGAGCATCTGGGAAAGCATCGAATTCGACGGATGCGGGCCCCTACCCGAGTCGCAGAACGTCGTGCGCCTCAAGTTTCGGCGGTGCGGTTTCGTAATTGAGGACAGCGTCACGAACGACTCGCTCAAGGTGTCGTTCTACTTGTCCGAGTCCCATCCCGGTCGATCCACTGTGAGCAACTTGACCAAGTCGTGGATGACCAGGCTCCTCCTGTGCGTGTCCGAGATCTCGGCGACGCTCATGACCAAACACTTGTCGGAGCAAACGTTGCTGGCGCGCCACGAGTTTACAAAGGACGGGTATTGCTGCTTCATTTGTCTCACAAAATTCACGTTGATGCGACGGAAGCACCACTGCCGCGTCTGTGGCGACGTTGTGTGTGGCAAATGCTCCCAGATGAAGTCGGTGCGCCAGAACGGGGTAAACAAAGACGTTCGCATCTGCCTCCAGTGCTCGAGCGCGTCGAGCGTTATGTCCATCAGCACGCGCAACTCGAGCACAAGCAGCAACGGCTTTGTCCAACCCAACCATAAAATCCGTGCCATGACGTCGTCCAGTTCGAGCAACTCACTCTTCAACGGCGGGGGCAGCAGCTCCGTCTCTTCGGCGGACAGCGCGTGCGGCCTCGACTACACAGAGGGCGCTTACCAGAAGCACAAGAACGTCATCTTGGAAGATACAGAGACCCCCAACTCGCGACAGGCGTCACCGAAGATTGTTCTCCAGCCGCATTACGCCGGATCGCCGAGCAACTCGTCCGCCGCGTCTTCTGGAGTGTCCCAAGTGCGCTACGGACCATCGACGTCATCCACGCCCAAACCCCAGCCGTCGTCGGACCTGATCTTGCTCGATCAAATCGACGTCCAGACGCTGCCATCGACGCTCGTCGCGCCGCCGCCATCGTCAAGTCCGAGCCTGACGCCGCCGTTGCTCACGATCTCGTCTTCGTCTACCACTGCTCTGCCGTCCAATGCTGTCATCAAGGAGAACTCGATCTACACGTACGCGCTGAGCTACTCGCTGCGCCAGGACTGGCCCAAGGCGCCGATGCCGCGCAACGAAGCTGCGCGCCTGCTCAAAGTGCGCAGCTTGTACCTCATGGACCCAGACAACCAGTTCCAGGACATGGTCGATGTGGCATCGACGACGCTGAGCTGCTCGATCGCAGCGATTTGTGTGATCGGCGACAAGACAGGGTTCATGCTGGCCAAGCTCGGCCTCGGGAAGCGCGAGGTATCGCGAAACATTTTGTTTGACGCGCACACGATCATGAGCACGACGCCAACAATCGTTCTCGATGCGACGCAGGACGCGCGGTTCGCGGAAAACCCGTTGGTCGTGGACGGGATTATCCATTTCTACGTCGGGATACCGCTCGTGACGTCGGACGGCATGGTCGTCGGGTCGTTCTCGGTCGCGGACCACGTCGCTCGGAAGGAACTGACCGGCGACCAACTCTACTTTTTGCAAAACTTGGCCAACTTAGCGCTGAGGGGGATTGAAAACAACACGGCCAAGTACACGAACCAGACGACGACGCTGTCGGCGAACCCGCTCTCGGACGTCGGCGGGAGCACCACAGCCACGTACTCGCAGGCGCTCGACGAGGACCTGGACTTGAAACGAGCCGCCAACACGATGCAGGAACTCCTCAACAAAGCGTATGCGACCCAGGTCAAGGTATCGATGGCGACGACGCCGGTGCATCACCACCAGTACGCCCCCAAGTGAACACCGTGACCAAGGCAAGCCGCATCCAGGATTGTACGACGTCGGGTTGTGTAGGCGTCCTAGTAGACGAGCTCGAGAGGTCGGGGAGAGCACGAAACCCACCATCAACATGCAGTGTGTATGTCAAGTGTGCGTCGCGGCGACACTCGATTGAAACGAAAATGGGATGCATTGTTTATGACGGTCCTGTGCGCGTGGATGCACACGAGGGAGGGCGCGTCGACTAATCCTCTTCGTCCGTTTCGATGCCCGCAAAAAAGTTCTCCAACCCTTCCTCGTAGTCGTCGTACACCTTGGGCTTGTTGTTCATGAGCTTGACGCCGCTGTCCAACAACGTTTCCAAGTGCGCCTTTTGTTTCCACTGCATCAACGTCTCTTCCAGTTCCATGCCGGCCTTCGTGATAAGCATGTCGACCACGCGCGGGTCCTTCACGTCGGCGTTCTTGCGGAAGAACGCTTGCACAGCCAAGCGTGCCTCCGACGGCTCCATGCTGATGTCATACAGAGTCAGCACGCGCGGCACTTGCTTCGTGATCTGTCGGTACAGCGTCACAGCCGGGTTCGACCCCCCCAGCTTTTCCGTCGCCAAACGCAGCGCCATGGCCAGCCAGACAAATAAAGTAAATGCCACCGTGACGGACGCCACTGGGACAAACAAATAGCGACCATATTCTAGTCGAGTTTTCGTGATATTTCACAATACGTGATGGAAAAATGGCCTGCTTTTGGGAGCTCCGACCTGTAGGTTCACTTGAAATATCTATAGTGGTTTACTCGAATACATTGACCCGTGTATTTAAATACATGGGGCATTCCTTGGGACAAATGTTTGAAAGCCAGGTGGGCCAAACCATCACGGGACCTGACGGCGCTACAATGAGCAACAACTTGACGGGCCGCTTGACAAAGGAACTTGCGGACATCGAAGCCGCGGGAACATTCAAGAAGGAGCGCGTGATCACGTCGGCGCAGGGACCTACGATCACTGTCGCCGCGCAGCCCGTGCTGAACTTTTGCGCGAACAATTACTTGGGCCTGGCCAACCACCCCGAAGTCGTCGAAGCTGCCAAAGCAACGTTGGACTCGCATGGATTTGGTCTCAGTTCGGTGCGATTCATCTGCGGGACGCAAGACATCCATAAAGAATTGGAGCGCAAGATTTCCGAGTTCCACGGGACCGACGACACGATCTTGTTTCCGTCGTGCTTTGACGCGAACGCGGGTTTGTTTGAAGCGATCTTGAACAACGAGGACGCCGTCATCTCGGACGAGCTCAACCACGCATCCATCATTGACGGCATCCGTCTATGCAAGGCCGAGCGCCATCGCTTCAAGCACATGGACTTAGCGGATCTCGAAGAAAAGCTCCAGGCGACACAACATTGCCGTACGCGCCTCATCGCAACCGACGGCGCATTCAGCATGGACGGCGATGTCGCACCACTCAAAGGCATTTGCGATCTTGCGGACAAGTATCCATTTTTGCATGGCGCATGCATCGCCAACTTTGCCTTGTAGGTACAACGCGCAAGTATTCATCGACGAGTGCCACGCGACGGGCTTCTTTGGACCTACCGGTCGTGGGAGCGACGAATACTGCGGCGTCCGTGGCCGCATCGATGTTCGTCAGAGATACGCGTGGAATGAATCGACTTGACGCTCTCGATAGATCATCAACTCGACGTTGGGCAAGGCGTTGGGTGGCGGAACTGGCGGCTACACGACGGGTCGCCAAGCCGTCATCGATATCCTTCGTCAACGAGCTCGGCCGTATTTGTTTTCGAACTCGGTTGCCCCGGCTGTTGTCGGCGCATCGCTCAAAGTCTTTGAGCTGCTGACTCGAACGTCCGAATATGTTGATACGATTCGCCGCAACACCCATCAATTTCGCGACGCCATGACGAAGGCGGGATTCACCTTGACTGGTCAACGGTGTGCACTATGAGCCAGCTCGTGCAGGGTGCTCATGCTTGTGATGGGATTTGTAGGGATCATCCGATTGTGGCCGTCATGGTGGGCGACGCCCGTCTTGCGTCCGTCTTGGCCGACGAGATGCTCAAGCACGGAATCTACGTCATTGGATTCAGTTTCCCGGTCGTGCCCAAGGGAAAAGCCCGCATTCGCGTCCAGATTTCGGCCGCACACACCACGGACGACGTCAACTGCTGCGTGGAAGCGTTCATTGCATCGGCTAGAGCTCTGAACCTTCTTCCTTGAGAGGCGCAGAGATCATTTTGTCCAATTAACGGTGTTTCCACGTTTTGAGCCAATTACTGTTGTTCAAAAGACGACAATTAGTGTCGTTGATGCATATTTTTAGCCAATCCAATATAAGCTTCGTCCATGCTCAAACTGAATCCGACACATCAAGATGAACACTGACGCGGTCTTGCTCGCGATCGCCGTCATCGGCCTCGTCACGACCTTTGGCATAACGCTATACCTTGTGGGGTACTTCCGCAGCGCGCCCGAGCCGACTGTAAGTCATATTCGATGGTCGTTTGCGTATTTCTTGAAGCCCCACATGCACCTGACGCCATAGGACTCGAATCATCGTCCGGCAGGCGCAGCGGCGGCAAATGCGCGCCAGCTTAATCGCGGCGAGCTTCGTGCATTGCGCCGTCGACGTCAAGGTGTTGCAGCTGTGAACGAGCGTGCAGAACAGAGAGAGCAAGACATGCAAGCAGAACATGCTGAAAACTTCGAAGGTGAGGAAGAAGAAGATGGCGGCGGCCCACGGTACGGCCCATCCATACGTTGGTACTTGAGTTTTCATGAAATAATCATTGCATTCGACCAGGGTTGCGGGCACGTCCAGAAAGGCGATGCAGAAGGAGCTCAAGCGGCAAGAACGCGAGCGCATGCGAAAGGTTGACGGATGTGGTCCCCATGATGTTGCGTATCCATGCGCTAAATCGTAGTTTGAAGCGTCCCGACGGGAAGAAGTCAAGCGACTGCGTGAAGCGAAAGAAGAGGTTCGAACCATGCAACCACACACGGTCAACATTCCTGCAGCATTGCCCCTCTAGGCACATCGCAAGAGATTGGAAGCTGCTGATGCCGACGAAGACGCTCGGGAAGCGGAACTGGAGGCCATGCGTCTTCGCCAAGAAGTAAAAGCCAAAGCCGACTTTGAAAGATGGCGTGCGTTTATGTCAGTCGACGACACGGGCGTCGACGCCGACATGGCTGACGACGAATCGGCCGAGAGCGAACGCTTGCATGCGGTTGCCGAGTACGTCCAAGTAAGGCGGCGCATGCATCGATCGAACTCGCGTTCGTATGTGTTGAATACACGGTAGAGTCTGAAAGTGGTGGTGCTGGAAGAGGTCGCGGCCGAGTTTGGGCTTCGCACGGAGGCTGTCAAGGACCATATCGAGAAGCTCGTGGCATCTGGGCGTCTCTCGGGCATCTTGGACGACCGCGGCAAGTTCATCACTCTCTCGGACGACGAAATGAATGCCGTCGCGCTGCACATTCAACGCAAAGGCCGCGTGACGTTGCACGAACTGGGACTCGAATGCAACCGCCTCATCCATGTCGATTGAGCGGCGATGACAGAATGACGACCCATCGCCGTGCCTCCATGACGGCGTCTTCCCTGGGCTAATTCAAGTAGATGTACCCAATGCATGGCCACGATCGTATTCGCCCATTTGCCGCTGCCTTTTTTTACACGAACAGTTTTGCTACAGCCCATGCAAGTAGAGCGATGCTGGTGCCACACAATCGTCGTCGTGTGGGTTTGCGACCGAGATGTGACTACAAGCGGCTCGCTCCTCTGCAGCGACCACGCGATGGGAACGATTCCAGATCGACCCGCGAGTAGATGCAAAATGGCTAGCATTAAGCAAAATGGCTAGCACTAAGGACGGGCGCGCGATGCTGCAAACGACTACGTGTCAAAGTACCACTCGGACGTCTTCCTTCGGTAGTTCAGCACAGGTTGCTGCGACGCAAGCTGCGCGAGTTTCTGCTTGTGCTGCTTCTCCGTGAGTGCCATGCGCTTCATCTCGAGAAAGTCGGCTTGTTTCAGCTTTTCTTGCTGGAGTTTGGCCTGCTGGTGCTGCGCAACGACTTCGACCTGGTTTCGCTTGGCGTCGAGCCTGCGCTTCTCTTGTTCGGCAAGTTCTTTTTGCAATGCTTCGTCCGACTCTTGTTGCATCCGCGCCATGTACGCCGCGTCAGCTGCCGCGTCCGCCACCTTCTGATGCTCCTTGCGCTCCATCTGGTCCCGGCGAGAATGCAGAACCTGCGCGAGAAGCTCTTCGCGGGCTTCGTCCTCGGCGCGGTGCTCTATAGTACCCACGATGAACATTTCATTGCGTCCGGCAGCCCATCCGTTGTACCAGCATCTCGCTTCGCCCATACTTCGTCCTCCATCTTTTTTCGAATCGCGTCCAAGTAGCTCAAGTCTTCGGCTTCGGTCGCCATTTGCTTTCGCAGCATCGCTTGATACTCCAACTGGTCGCGCTTGAATTTTTCCTGGAGGTCGCGCTCCCTCGCCTCGGCCTCTGCTTCTTGGCGCAATGCGAGCTGCAGGAGCTGCGAGTCGTACTCGCGCTCGCGGCGTGCCTCGCGCTCCGACAGGTCACTTCGAGTCTGGTTGAATTTCTTCACGTCCATGGCGCGCGCAACGGCCTTGCGCTTGATTTCCATGTCGAGCTCGTTTTCAATCTGCTCGTGGACCTTCCAGGTTGCCAGGAGATCTTTATCCTCCTGTTCCTTGATCGCCGCCTCTTCTGCCTACGACCATGGAGACTCACGACTGGATCCAGCTCGAGCAAGTTGACGTACCTGTCGCGCGTGAAAGAGGGACACCTGGGCGTCCAGAATCGTCTTGACTTCATGGTTGTTGGCCACGATCCGATCGAGGTCCGCTTTGTCCCGTGCATCCTTCTTTGCCTTGTCCAGCGCCCACAACTCGGCCATGCTCGCTTCGTACGCTTTTTCTTCTTCCTGGAGACGCCGCCGCTCTTCTAGTTGCTTCTCGCGATCTAAACACGAGCGGCTGAGACGAACACGATGGACGACACGCACCTTGCACGACTTGCGACAAGATAAACGCCGACTCGAGCGTGCGATTGTCGTCGCAGCTCTCGCGATACTGCTGTTGGCGCTTCGCTTCGACAAAGTTTTTCCGCGCGGCCTCGCGTCGAGTCTTCAGCTCGGTCGCACGAGCTATCATCTTCTGCTTGCGCTCCTCGGGGGTCTCAACGTTGTGCAGACACATTTGCTTCCACGTCTCCAACTCTGCGTTCATGAGAGACGCCAGTTTGAGTCGACGGGATGCCAAGTTGGACTCGTCCTGGTTCTTTAGCGTCTTGAGCACGGTCAACGTTTCTCGGACACCCGCCTTTTCATGGAGTTTCGTTTCCCAGTCCGCGCGAGCGTTCATGTGCGACAGGTCTTTCACGATACCAGTGTATGTGGAAAGTGCATCTTCACGATGACGCCGCTTCATGATGCTTTGTTCGCCGACACCTCGGGGCGCCGTTGCTTGGTTCGGTCGAGACATCGTCGGCGGCAAGCGGGATGGTCCAACGACGGGACCGCGTGCGTTACAACCAACTGAACAAGAACCGACGAGAACATTATAAATAGAGTCGTCGCCACCTCGATGCTTCTGCATTCGCGAGTAAGTTGCATCCCACCTGCATGAAGAGGCTTGCGATGGTTCGGCGGCGGCGCTTGCTCCTGTCGCCGTTGTGGCATTTTCGTAAATGGCGGTCGAAAATGACTAAAACGGGTGAATACAAATGAGATCTTTTGGAATCGGCCCATCAAGACGGCGTCATGGCTCGCACGGTGCCATCATGACCTCATAATCCGTGCACTGCTCCATCGTGCAGACCTGACTACCTCCAGGCGACTAGGACACCTGCGCCACCCACCCCCTCTCAGTGCATGAGTTGATCGAACAACAGTCGCACTCGACAGGACCAACACATACAACGATTGCAGCCTTCCTCCTGACGGACTTGTTTGCTTGCTGTGCTCCAACTAACTTGTCATACGCGCAGAAGATCGACACGAGAACTGGTATTCCCATGTGGACGCTACTGTTGCCATCGCTGGACGTCCCGGCCTCGTTCGGGATGGGGGCGCGATGTTAGGTTAAGGTCTATCTCTTCTATCTTATCTCACACGACATGGTGGGGTGGCAAGGCGTCGACGGAAGGCGGGTTCGTCGGCTGGGTGGCCGGTGGTGCTGTCGCTTGATGACTTCGTTCGATGGCATCCAGGGGAGGCAGCGGAACTGCACTCATCGCGGCGGCAACAAGGGTTTCGTTGTACACGGCTAGCTCGTCTCGATGGCTCTGCGCGTGCTTGACAGCCCATACGAACATTAGCGCAAGCAAGAACGTCTGAACAATGTAACTCCGGACCATTTCATCCAAACTTGGCTGGCTCTGCGCCGCGTACGTGCGGCTTCGGGCCTTTCGGTACTCCTCCGGGTCCCACGCAGAGAACCGCATAATCTCGTAGATTTGCTCCACCATGGTGAGCACGCCCAGTGCCATCATCCCGACAATGTACTGCCGAGCCGGCCTGAGGTCCGTGTCGTGGGCAGCCTTGAAACCCACGCAACCCACGTACACCCCAAATGCGTACCCCAGCAGCTTTCCGGTCGTCGCGACGGACGACTCGTCGTACAGCGGCGTGAACTCGAGCTCTTTCTTCATCCGGTCGTTCATGCCGGCAGCATTCTGAGCGGCAAAGTTGGCGAGGAACGCGCACTGCCCGAGCAATTTCATCGTGTGGATGATCAGAACAAACGATGCCCAGAGCTTGACGCGGCGGGCGGCCATCCCGAGTGGCGTGTCTTGGAGAATTGGATCGATGCGGCGAGCGCTCTCGGATGGAAACACAGCGCTTCGAATCGGATCATTTGGGCCTGCGTGGAAATGGATCATGCGGTGGTGGTCTTCGAGTTCCCTCATGCGACGAAGGGCCGCCGCAGTCGTAGACGAGTCGTCATCGCTGGAAAACACAGCAGGCGCAGAGTCGGCTACAGTCGGTATTTGTCGCACGAACAAGTGAATCGTGTGACCGTCTTCAACCTTCGAGTCTCCCAACGTCGTGCTGCCATCGAGCACTCGGCCTCGGTAGATGAGCCGTTGTCGCGATGATTCCACGCCGCTTTTGGCCTCGACGACGACATGTAGTTGATTGACGGACCAGTCGGGTGAACCAGACACGGGAAACACCTTGCCATTCAAGTCCAAGATGCGAATGTGGAGATTGCCGTCAGGGTCTTCTAACGGGTGCAATGGCGCCGCGGTAGATTCGGTCGAACAACAAGAAGCGGCAGCCTGATCATCGCTCGACGAGTGTTTCACATCATCTTCATCCCCCGCACTTTCGGCTACGGTTGTTGGTTGTGGGGCAGAGGATTTGGTCGGAGACTTCGGGGACGTTGGTGCAGCACCCCCATCGCTCGAGTTGCGACGACGCAGAGTGGACGTCCCAGGTGTGTCAGATGCAGCAACAAGCGCCGCATCCTGACGCGGGGTATCATCTTCATGTGCGTTTGGTAGCGCGATGTATCGCCCTGTGGCTCTTGGACTCAGGATGTGGCGGCTCATGCGCAGAAGTGCCGATGGCCGGAGTGCTCTCGCAAAGAATACAACAAATGTCTCTGGAATGTTGGTGCCCGAATGGGTTGTATTGCTACGTTTTTCGATATCAAGGGTTAAACGCAAACATAGACGCAGTGGATTGGTGGAATATTGTCCGTTCGAATTAAACGTGGTCATATCCGGCATTCGGCGAACGACCAGAGTTATCCGGATGGCACTGGTGCCATTTGCAAGCGTGGAAGAGGAGCTGGAAAATCGCATACTTGCCCTACGACAACGACGACGCCACGACGCGGGTGCTGTGCAACAAGCACGCAGAGTGCGCGCCGCCAGCGGCCACTTGGATCACGGGGATCGATCCCATCGTGGTTTCTTGAATCGGCTCAGGCAAGGAGCAGTACTTCTTGACCTCGACGTTGCCGAGCCGTCCGTGACTAAACACCTCTCGTCACTCCTTCTGCATGTACCGTATCGTCATGCACACGTACTCGGAGCGCCCACAGCTAAAGGCTTCGCCTTTGTCCGTAAGGAACAACGTGTGCGAACCACCTTGTGTCACACGAGATGTTTACCATCCGATTGTGGACGTGAAGAGCCTCTAGGCATGTGATACCTGCCGAAGCGTCGACAATTGTGTGGGACGCCAACGACTCGACTTTGTGCGGGTGCGAGTGACTGCGTCCATCGCCAAGGCCCAGTCGGCCGTATTCGCCACGACCAAACACGAATGCAGCCCCCGCACGGGTAACCACGGCCGTGTGCCACCCTCCGCACGACACAACTCTACCACTCTCGTCATGAATGCCGTACTTGTCTCGCCTTTGACCTTACCTCGCCGGCTCCTTGTCAAAGTACGCAACTTTGCGCGGGACGTGGATATCTGCTGTGTGACCGACCCCAAGCATCCCATAGTCCTCCTTTCCCCAACTACATCCACCGTAGTCAGGAATGGCATGATGTTCGCATACTTCGCACGTATAAACAGCGCCGGATTCGGTGATGGCGGCGGTGTGGAACGCCCCCGCTGATATCTGAACGACCTTCTCCATGCCAAACGATTCCGGTTCAATGCGCGTGGGAGTAAAGGCCGAAACGCCATCGGTTTCGATCTCGAGGTGAAGCCACTCGCGGCCGAGGCCCAACTGACCGTTGTCGCGACGGCCCCATGTATACACGTGCCCTTGCTCTACTCACACACACGATCAAGCAAGGCCCAAACACGAACGAAGGACCTACCTGAGAGAGCCACGGTGTGCGTTCCGCCTGGGAGAAGATGGCTAACGGTCAGCGACAGACTGCATCAAGAGAGTCGAAAGTACCGCAACTCAGTGACACAATCTTGTCTGTGGAATTGCCAGGTATAACTTTGCACAGCACGGGCGTTGCTTGATGGAGGTGTTCGATCAAGTCGGCAGAGAGACCGAGTTGACCCCAATGCGCTTCGCCCCACATGTACACTTGACCTGCACGAACGCGAACGGTCACGCGGATCCGACAAGGCCGATGATGGAACTCACCTTGGTCCGTGACCGCACCAGAATGGCATCCGCCCGCGGACACGTGCACCAACTTGATCTTGCACTCGTCGAAGAATGGAACTTTGGTTGGGAGGTTTGTGCTCTTGTGATGCCCGAGACCGAGCTGTCCCATCTGTCCCCATCCCCACGAGTACACGTCGCCGGTGGTCGTCAGCGCCAGTGTATGACGCGAGCCGCATGAAATCATAACGCTGTCCAGCCCACGCAGTGCACCCACTTGTTGTGGCTGGTTCGAGCTCGATACACCTTCGATGGACGTTCCGGTCGGCTTCTTCTTCTCCCCACGGCCCAACTGTCCGTCGTCATTGCATCCAAAAGTCAGTATCGAGCACTCCACCACGACGCTGCTTGTGGTGGCATTCTGTCCTTGCGCTGAAGCGTCGACCATCACCCAGCAGTCGCGTATTCCGTCAATGTGGAATTCCATCGACAATACTCTTGTAAGTGCGAGATCTCGTACGTTAAAGGACCTCGTTGGCGGACTTTCTCGAGATGTTCAACCGTACTTAAGAATGGAAGATGGCCTTTCGACGACGATTGCATCAGCGGGTAATTCCACGGCGACTGGTGATCGCGATGCCTTCGCGCGCCGTGTGCTCGATCGATCGTGTGGCGAGTGGCACAACGGCATATCGTAACGAAAGAATGAATCCAAGCGTAGCATCATGTGGAGTTACTAGGACGTTTTGTGCTGACCGTGGAAGTCTTGATCGAACCAACTCCTGATTTAAGTTGATAAACCTGTCGTGGGGCTGCTGCGCGGCAAGGACATCATGGTGCTCCTTTGGTTGGCAAGCTGCAAAACGTGGCGAGTGGGGTTTGTTCTGCACAGCAAAGCAGTATGGTGGCGCTCAATATTGTGTGTTCGCTAAATTTAGCGGAGCTGCTATCACAAGTCCATTCCGTTCATCGCCACGAGACCAGCATGTGCGATTCATTCTACCTTTCGAATTCAAAAGCGCAAGAGCATGCCTTCTCCATCATTTTTTACAGTCGCCACAGTCCTCGCTTCACTTGGCTTCGTCGCGGGGCACGGCATCATGAGTGTACCACAGGCCGAATTCGACGCCTCCGTCATGCGCACCAAATATGTGGCTACCATTCAAGCCAACTTCCCTGGCAAGTTCAATGGCTCGCCATCAAGCAATGCGGCGGCGTTCACCAAGGCCTTCAGCGACCAAATGGCGACGGGATTCAAGACCCTGCGAGCCATGCTCGATCCACACGGACCAGACTGTGGTTACACAAAGCTAAACGTCCCTGCCAAGCCGATTCCTACCGACGGCAAAGTCGTGTGGCAGAACCCAGACACTGGCGAAGGCTTTGTCCCATCGCACACGGTACATACACATCTCAACCCCTCTTTTGCCGTTTGTGACTTCGTCGCAGGGACCGTGCGAGATCTGGCTCGACAACACCCGCGTCTTTCAAAACGAAAACTGTGCCGCCAACTTTCCCGAGAAGCCTGCCGCCCAATTGCCCGTCGACTTTTCGTCGTGCATCGGGTCGTGCACGATTCGCTTCTACTGGCTCGCCCTGCACGAAGACCTGTGGCAAGTTTACAGTACGTGCCTTCCACGGCTTTCATTCAGGAAGTCACGCCTTGTGTAGAAAACTGCGCCCCCCTTGTTGGCCTTGCTGCTTCGCCCACCGTCGTGCCGTCCAAGCCGACGCCGCCCACCCCAACTATGTCGCTCCCTCCTTTTGACGACCTCGATTGTGACCCATAACATTGAAATGAACCACGTGGTCTTGGGTGTTCCTTCACCGATGGGTTGCATGCACTACCTTGTGGCGGGATGCTCACGTGCTGATGCCCGCAACAATCAAACCAACAGTTTGAATCTCTTCGAAGGGATGGCAGCCGCCTTGAAGAGATATCCACCATGTCCATAAAATCGGCGCATTCGCGCGAAACCATGTTGCCAGCCCAATCTGCGTATACATCCCAGGCGTCGTTGCATGGAGGCTTGTCAGCCACGTACGGTCAGCAAGCGCTGTTTCGTGTTCATTCGCGGTCGAGATGTCCACGATTGAGCGAAAAAACCGCGTGGAACACTGTGCGCCTTGGACATTTACAATTTTGCTGGATGGTCCACTCCAGCATGGCGTGCGCGAGCGGGGAAGAGGCCCATGCGTTTCTTGAATTGCGATCGGTCGCCAATCACAGTTGCGTCGACGCCAGGATGGGGCGGAATGTTGTCGGTGGGGGCGAAGATCTGGACACTCAATCGATGCCTCGACGCTGGATTCACCAACCTGCCATAGACCACATCCACGACACTTGCCAACGTTAGCGTCGGCACCACCGCGGCGACCTTTTCTCGAAGTCCAAAATCGTACGATTCGCTTGTGATGTCGTGCCACAACCGGTCACAGTCTTGTTCGTACGTCTTGGGCGCTTCCACCAGCTGTGCCACCACGGAGGCTTGATGTTGCTAACGCGACAGAATGAATGGGTTGACTTCGTTACGAAGCATCTCCCACGTGCACACCTGAAAATCGTCGTCGCCGTCCACCAGCGATCGTTGCAGCTGCGAATGAAACGCGCGGCAGAACTCGTCCACGCGCGCTTGCAAATGCAACGGCGAGTATTTGTTGGATTGGATGCTGATGTACACGTACACCACGTTGTGCGAAATGTACTGGCCGCTCGAAACGAGGTACCCGAGTTGCTCGTTGGTTCGAAGCGTTGAAAAACACGGCACTTTGATCAATTGGGCCAACAGAGCACTCGTCGCGCGCATCGTCGGCGAGTCCTCACCCAGCTGGTACAGCACATTCACAGCCCCGTTTGGGTTGGACTTGTTTGGGTTTCGTTCGCGCACGACGTAGTTTCCATCGAGTCGGATGTTTCGGCGAGGTGGGGCGACAGTCGGTGCGCAGGACCTTGCCATCCATTCGCTCGTATTGCCCCGAACGGCCTGCAACGCGCGGTCCACGCATGCCATTAATTCCTGCGCCTGGCTCTACAACGACACCCACACGTGGCTCATCAGAACCCGTTGCCGCTGCGCGACATGCAGTTGAAGTACCTTATCCACGTTTCCATAGACAAAGCCCTCGGTGAACCCGGACTGGAGTAGCACCATCGCATGCTCGACGAGGCTCTCCCACGTCACGGAGGAACCATGACCCCCAGCCACTGCCAGCTTTTCCGGCGTTGACCATGCTGGTGTCGTCAAGTGCCACGACCGGACTTGGATCGCATGGACATGAGGCTCGTCCAGAGCTGCGTTCGCATACCCCCGCACGAGCTTGTCCTTGAGACGATGGAAACTCGGCTCCATCAGTCGCGGATTAACGACAATCTCGAGCACCTTTGCCACGACCAGCGACAGCGTGTCGCTGTAGCCGTCCATGTGCAGGGTGACTCCAGTTGGGGACGTGGACACAGATACTTTCATTCCGGCCACGTCGGCGTCATACAGGTCTTGTGCAACTTTATCCCGAACGCATGAAGCAAACAATTCCGTGAGGACCGCGTGCATGGGCGATGCATACACGAGGGAGTGGTAGAACTTGAGGCGAAGGCTTGTCTTGGGCTTCCCAAAGCTGTTGCCTGGTTTGAGCCAGAGACGGCACTGGTGATCGTCGCGGAGTACGTGCATGTCTTTGAACGACGCGGTCGACGACGATGGCATCAGGTCAAACGACAGGGGAATGAAAGGGTTGGTTGGGGGTGGAAGGTAGAGGGCCGACGAGTCAGACAGCAACGACGGATCGACCGATTCAACAAGCAACGGCGAGTCGGAATACGCTGCGTGCAGCCACGGTTCGGTCGCCACTGGCGTGACTGTTTTGCTGACGAGAGTCAAGCGCACACGAGATGGGTCCATGAGCTTGAGCAGACTGCGGACGCCTGCATCGTCATGGTGGTCCAGGAGGGACGGACCAACGATGACGGATTCGACAGGAAACGTTTGTATGTTGGATGTCAGCCACGAAACGTAGTGGATCGGCTGTTCTTGGTTGCGAAAGCGAAAACGAAGGTTCGCGAGGGCCTGAGCCTCCTCAAAATATGACGCGAGTAGATCGGGCGGCGCTGCAGACACGAGGTTGATGAAGTGGAAGCACGCCTGAGCCATGGTTTGATAGTTGGCAACGCCCTACATGTCACGGCGTAAACAGGTAACTTTTTTCGCTCTGTGATCATGCGCACCTCGTCCGTGAGGGTGATCTTGATGGAGAACATGGCCCAGTCGGAGAAATCCTTGGTGAGCCCAGCCGTGAGCGAGTTGGCGTAACCCATCGCCTTGAAATACGCCAAGAGGGACCCATGGCCTTCGTACCCGAACAGGTACGCGAGCATACGGTGCGGCTTCGTCAAGTATTGTGCCCGAACCGGAGGCAGGGGGAACGACAGTTCAAGCAAACGCACGTCCTTTACTGGGACGACTTGGATTTCACGACCTTGCTGAGGCTGTTCGTAGGGATGGCAGCCGTCTAGGGTATTCGTCCAACAGAATCTTATGTCGCGTGCCATGAACCAATATCATCACGTCGAAGTACCGGCGACACGTGGCGACTCGACGCTATTGTTTGCCACGGGTGAAAAAAGCGTCGTGGCCCAGTCTTCGAGCACGTTCAAGTCTTCTTTGCCGTACACGACGAGTTTCATCGCGTTTGCAGAGTAGTGCCGGTCGTAGAACGCCAAAAGCTCTGGATGGGGTTTGAGATGCGCCAAGGGTGGCGAAAACACACCTTTGCGGATATCCACGCCTTGTGCTCGCGGACGATGCCCGAGAGTCGTCAAGTTACCCGTTCCAAACTTGTGAAAGGGGTGCACTGGGTTTGACAACGATTTACTCAGCTGGTACAGTCGCCGCGCGTCGTTTTGGTAGTTCTTGGCATTTTCGGCGTCCACGGCATGCATCTCACGTTCGGTTACAGTTGGTGTGAACAGAGGTGAAATAAAGAATTGGGCAAACCGATCCAACGCTCCATGGAGATGGGCCGGCCCCACATCGAAATAATAGTTTGTATCGACCGCCGATGTGGACGCATTGCTTCGACCGCCTTCACAACGTTAGTATTCCGTACGAACCATGAACGAACTCACCGTGTGCGCTCAAGAACTTCTTGTACGACGTCTCATCAGGAAACTTTTCTGTGCCAAGGAACAACATGTGCTCGAGAAAGTGCGCGAGCCCAGGAATGTTGGCAGGATCGCTCTGATGTCCGACTTGCACAGCCATTGCAGCCGCCGCTTTCTCCGTTGTAGCGTCGCTGACTAGTAGGACTTGTAGATGGTTCGGGAGAGTCAGAGCACGATACAATCGTGTGTCCTGGAATGGCACCTCGATGCCATTACACCACTTGCTGCCACCTCGAGACCAAAAGGCGGACGGCCGCATCAACGTCTTGATGAGGAACTTGTCTGATATCCGGACCGAGAATATTTCTTTGATGTTGGTAATTTGATATAAACCAAAATATCCACCGGATCCAGTCAAGGGAAGGCATCCGGATGCCCGCTTCAGTGAGTAAATTGGCTTGAACGAACATGGCGAGGAAACTCAATTGGAGCGGCATCGCTCTCTCGTTTGTGACGGGCACGAGTCTAGCCGCGGTGGGTGTGATGGGATACGTTCGGTACGAGTACCCAGAGGAATTTGCGCAAGGGAGTGTCAAGCAAGCGCGCCCGGAAGCATGGGACGACCAGGAAAAGCTGTGGGGGGCATACGGAAGCGGTCTGAGCAACTTCATTCCCGACTCCATCTCGGCATTTTTTCAGTTCAACGAGATTCCAGCACGCGTCGAAGCACACCGTCGACGTCGTCAGAAGGAGATCCAAGACGCACTTCAAAACCAAACGCGTTAATACATGTACATGGCACGAGGTTGTTAGGATTTTGTAATGGGATACAAGATGGGTGGTAAGCTGGAGGCGTCACTATTACCACCTTGTCGGCCGAGCTCCCAACCGACCAATCTTAATGTCGGCGATGCTGCCTCCCGCATCGCTTCATTCGCCCGTGATTCCTTGACTTTCTGCTCCAGCAGAGTCGGTATCCGCTGGCCATCCATTCCTCCCGCTCGCCGCTTGAGCATGCCGCCTTCCTCGACGAAGAAGCTGCCAAGGTTGAGTCCGTCATCGTCACTTTCGTACTCTTCGTCATCGTACTGCGGTTCTCGCCGCCTTTGGCCAACTTCAGGTGTGTATGGTGTCGCGTGCTCCCTTGCCCTGAGAGATTCAAGCAAGAGCAAGTCGGACTCAACTTCAGTTTGTGCTGTCGTGGTGGAGACCGCAGCATTGTCACGATTGTTCGGTCGGGGTTTGACGTGTTGATGTTGCTTCTTGGGCTTAGTCGGAGGTGCAGGTCGTTGGTTCGGAGCTCCCCCTCTGGTACCATCCGTGGCCGAAGTACTCTCCTGGTGTACTCCTTTCCGTTGTTGCATCGCCATCGTCGCTTTCTTGGGGCCGCCCGGCGATGGCCGACCAGGTGGTCGGCTTGACGACACTTTACCATTATCACCCGAGATTTCCTGCATGAGACGCTCGTTTTCTTGGATCTGCAGCTCGCGCGCGAGTTTCTCCGCCACCGACATGGGCGTCCTCGCCTTCTTTACGCCGTCAAACACAAATGGCGACACGTTAGTTTCAGCGACGCGATTGACAAAACCGAATTCGTTGCGGTATTGCACAGCTATTTGACTGCGCAAGTGAGGAGTCGATACATCCGAAGGTGGGTCTGCACTCCTTCCCTTCGTTGGAGATGTCGAAGAGAGTTGCGGCAGCGGTTGGAATCGATTCACTCGATGGGATTCAAGCAAATAGCCTTGTCTGTATTCCCTCGTGGCCTGCAGTACCGTCTCGTGAGCCGTGTGACCTTGTCGAGGTGAATATGATACTCACCAACTCGCCGTGGTGCGTGAGGGAAAAGAAATGATTGTCCAATTCTTCGTCAGGAAGCAGATCCGTGATGTTATTGAGCACGTCGTTGGCAGCCAATTCTGGCGCACAAAATATCGTTTGCTTGAGCTTGGCACGCTCCTTGACAGGTGACCGACGCGGCGGATACGTTTGGGTCGTGTTTTCGGTCATTTCTTCCGTGGCTTGAACTTCTTCGTCCAGGCGAGTAATGAACTTTTGTCGCACGATCATCAGCGACCCCCGTGAGTCTTCGGCATGCATTCCCATCTATACAGGCGCTTGAATCACACCCGGGCACGTGCTCGAGAATTAGTTGTCTGTACATGGTCCAAGTGCGTCTTGTACTCGCGGAGATACGCTCGCAGTGTGTGTACGCGGGCCTTGTAGTCTTTCAAATCGCTTTGCACTTGAAGCAAGTTCATTGTGATCGCTCCATGGCGCTGCGATGTCGTAACTTTCAGCGTGGCGTAGTCGTTCTCAGCCATTTCCATGCACTCTTCGAGTCGCGAGGTGCGCGATTTCTCGCGTCCCATGGCGACATTTTCCATCTTGAGTGCAAAACGAGTTTCTTCAATTGTTTCCTCCATACGAGCAATGGTCGCATCTCGTTGCTTCAATTGATTCGTCAGCTCGACAATGGTGTACTCATTCTGACGGGGGATCGCGCCGCCTTTTAGAGAACGTCGGCGTGGACGACTGGAATGCGAGTCCATCCGGCTTAGTCTTGGCTTGTTACCATAACTTGACCCTCCCATTTCACCACCATCTCCACCGGCTTGCATTGCTATCAGATCCTATGTGTTTGGTTAGATTTTTCCTGGCTTTTCGAGTGCGAAAAGTAGAGTTACCAAGAGTCCAGACACACTCGACTGCATTCCCACAGCGTTCGCTCCTCGATTGATACTGGGGTGAAGCGCCTTTTGATGCGTCGAATGCAAATCCACGCCTGAAGCAGACGAACTTAGCTGCGGCGGGGCGCGGAATGCATTGTCGTAATGCATCTTGAGTTCTTGCATGGCTTCGTCGTAGTTAACTTCATTCAACCGGATTTTCTCCATGAGCTGCGATGTGGCTTGGTTTAATCGATTCACCATCGCTTGGTTCGTGCTGTGTTCCAGCTGCGCGATCCGCTTGTCTCGAAGTAGGGTATCGCGCTCGAAAGTCATCGCAGCCAGCGCCTTGTCGCCTTTTTCAATGCGCTGCTTGTTAAGTTTCATCTCGACTGCATTTGCTTCTAAGGACTTCATCGACAATAGATAAGCAGCAGCTAAATGTACAGTACAAGTCGTCAGTACCTTGCTCAAATCGTTGATCTGAGCTTCGTTCTCACGGCGCGTGTACACCATTTCGCGCATCTGACCCATCACCACGCGTAGCTCCATTTCCATTTTCTCGACTTGTTCTCTCGATGCATCGTCAAGCAATTTGGATTGCTGTTTTTGGCTCGCCAATCTGAACCACACGGTGAAGTGGCTTCGCTAAAAGAAATCATGTGAATCTCACGTGGATGTTAAGCGGTCGTTCGCTCGTTCCATCTCTTGCAATTGTCCTCGCATGTGCTCGCAGATGCGCTCCGCTTGGGCCAACGACGTCTGGCTGTTGGCATACGCTCGTTTGGAATGGTGCAAATCGTTCTCGAGAGCTTCGAGCGATGCACGTAAGTTCCAAATCTGCTCTTGGCCTTGCTCTTTTTCTTGCCGCAGTAAGTCAATTTCTTTCTCAAGCTCGACCTTCTTGTTCAATAGACGTTCGATGCGTGCTTTGTCGCCTTCTTTTTGACTTGCGTTGTTCTTTTCAATGAGGAGAAGCTGTGTTTGAGCTTCTAGGACGCCGTTATCGAGCTTCTGCTGATGCGTCAACGCCGTCAGGCGAGCAATTTCATTCTGAAGCGTCACAAACGCATTTCGGTCCGCTTCCATAGCGTTTTTCAGAGACAAGATCGTTGCATCGCGCTCATCGATGTCATGTTTTTGTGATACGGTGAGCGCCGTGACTTCTGCCGCATGTATCTTCAAGAGCTCCAGGTCCTTGTCCAGCACGGTCGACTTCTCCAGGTACAACTGATACAACACAGTGAGGGATAGATCGAGTAAAGTAGGATTTTACCATGCGGTCAGCAGTCAGTTTGGTCTTATCCATCGTGAGCAACCGAACGTCATTCTTCAACGCGTCCACATTGTCACGCAATGCCTGAGAGCTCGATTGCAGTTCACGAATGCGATTTGAAGTGCGAACTTTATTCACTTCATGCTTTTCCAGTTTGTCTTGGAGTATCAAGATCTAGGATGGCATTGTTGTGACAACGTTTTTGAGGTAGGCCGACAACCCACCTGAGCTTTGAGGTTGGCCACTTCGTTTTCGACGTCGGACTTTTGCGTCAACGCCAGGGACAATGCTGAGCTTGTTTGATTTTGCTGCTCCGTTTTCTGGGCCAATTTGTCTTCTAAATCCATAATCTCCAGCCTTAGCATTCGAATGTCGTCTTCATAGTCCCCGAACTTGCGTTGGGCTTGTTGCATCTACATAGGTCCTTTTGACTATATGCTCTTCGAGAATGTATCACACCGACTTTTTCGTTGACAAGCCGAGTTTCTTCGACTTGATCTGCCAATTTCGTCAGGGTGTCGGCCACAACGTTTTTTTCCGCTAGAAGTTGTCCCTACCCTTCATGTTTTAGCGTCGAGTGGTTGGGCAACACGTCATCCAACTGCACCTGCACTGCGTTCACCTCGGATGTGAGAGCTTCCTTTTCCAACTCGTATTCCTTCATCTTGTTCTTTTTCCAAATGCTGGTGGCGTGGTTGAATTTGAGCATGGCCATTTCGTACCGCCCGTCTTCACACTTTTCAAGAAGATGCAAAAACGCGAGCCAAATGTTCGCTGCAATGTGACTCTCTGCGTACGCAGGGCAATGGCGGCCAAGATCGTGAATGAGTGTGTGAAAGCCACTCGTGTAGACAAATAAACCGCGATAAATGCGCTCGACCATTGGTTTGGGCATGCCGAGTCGAAGCAGCGAGGTTGAGTCGATGCCAGCTCCTTGCAGCGGCGTCTTCTCCGTCGACGAAATCACGTTCACTTGTGTCACGTCGCTGTATTCGAGCTTGCTTTGATACATGGCAACTTGCTTCTTTGGTTCCGATGCAGCCAGATAAGCGTCGGACACGGGGATCAATTGAGTATTGCCCTTGGTCAAATGGGCGTTGACCCATTCTTCAACTGCGGCACAATCATTGGATGCCATCACTTCGTCTTCGATTCGATCAGGGGGAACAAACAACGGGATCTCTGTCAATGGGAGGTCTCGAAGGGCATTTCTCGTAGCTGGGGGCTGAACGTTTTGTTCCCGCTTCTTCTTGAGAAACATCACATAGGACTCCCGTCGCAAACGAGTAATTTCCTGTTCAGCAGGGGGAATCTTGATCACCTTGGGCTTTTCTAAGCGGCCACATCTCAGACAAAATGAGAGCGATGATTGTGAACCTATGATTGGAATGCGATGTGCTTGGGACGGGGTTACAGGTGGAACAGGGACTGGAATGTGGGGCAGTGTTGGGTCTGGAATACTGGATGTGATCGTGCTCTGTGGTGTATTACTTGGAGAAGCACTGTATGGCCAAGGGAAATCATCGGTTTCTAAAGTCACAGTTATTCATGAGCTCAAGCTCATGTGGCCATGCTATCGCCAACCCGTGATTGTGTCTGGTGTTTGCAATCGGCTGAGGAGCTCCAAAGGCATTGTAGAATTCGGCCACATGACTTGGTCGCTTCCTTCTACACGTGTCGATGACCAAATTACGTGATTGCCTGACAATCGTACCATGCGGAGACGATTTCTCATCCGTGGATGCATCATCAGCGGGTCTACTTTCCATGGCGGCTGGTCATGTCCAGGCCCAAGCGTGACCAGAGCGTTTCAAAAATACCCTCTGATGAAACGTCCACATGATCCGGATAACCCTTCAGCCAATGGCAACGTAGTATTTCAAATCCCGATTTCGCGCGCTTTTCCCATCAATTTTAAAATTCACCCCAAGATGCAACGACTCAATTCATCGCGGTCAAAACGCGTCGCTGTTCCGGGGAACGAAGATGCGCGTGGATCCCGCCTAGGTACTTGGTGAATATGGGATGGTTTGAGACTCTTCGAGTGCAAAATGGAACAGGCGCCGTGACCAATGGAGACACCGTATTGTCATCGTGCCAGGGAGGGCCAACTACAAATGGACTTGAAGTGAAGGAACAGCCCACCAACTTCATGTGGAATCATAATGTCGCGACAGTCGAAGCGGAGACACGAGTAGCACAGCCAAGGTGAGCTTAAGACATTTGAGTAATGTTCTTTAACATATTCGGAGGTGAAGGCGCCAGCAGAGCTATCGCGTTTTGGCCTCACTATTAGACGAGATCGACGAGCTCCTGAAAGATGAGCTCACTCGTTACAAACCACAAAAGCATGCTGCGGTTCGTCAAAGAAAGCGAGTCCTGGATCGCCGGGTCACGGCTATCGAGGTGACGAGAAAGAAGCATCCATCCCCCTCCACCGTCACGGAGGAAGTGATATCATTCCAAACTTATCTTGACGAAAGGAAGCAACTACATGATCGGCTCCAAGCGTCTATTTCATGCTTGGGGTATTGGCATGGAAATATGTTGACCCTTCCCTTTGCCAAAATAGCAGCACCCAACGCCAACACTTCATCTTCGCCCAGTGATGCGTGATTGAATGAGTTGATATCTTATTCAATCAAGGGAATGCCCCTGAATCGTTCACTTATCCAAACGGAGTGATAGGAACGTTTTGCGACGGCATGCCTTCGTCGTGAGACAGTTCTAAGCATTGATGTTTCAGGGCGGCCAATTTGTCCTTGATAATGTCCAGCGCCCATATCACCACTTCCTCAGGCTTTAGTTGACCTGTGGTCTGCGCAAGATGCTCAGTTACATGCATTGTACCAAGGCGCTCAATATACCTCAACGGAGAAGATGAATTTATCTTGAGTGGCCTTGACAGTAACGGCCATGTCATCTTCGGGGTTTTCCCGATAGCTGCTCGCCAACTTGACGCATTCGTCGCAGTACATGCATCGCATGTTGTCTTCCACTTGAATCTATCGGGCGACAACAGTTAGACGAGCGCCGTCCTGCGCATACCAATAAACCTACTGTGTCATATGTGTCGTCGATTTCAAAGACTCGAGTGGGGCATGATTTGTACAATTCCACGCGCTGTTCGCTCGTGTACGTGCTCAAGACATCTGTACACCGTCGATGAGACAAAGTAGAAGTGCGCTGCCAACAACGTAACGTACTCTGGTTGAGGGTGATGATAGGTTCGAACATGTATGTGGCGACTGCAACAGGAGACCACTTTGCATGCTCCTTGCCAATGCCCTGCAAATGAAAAGGTTACAAGGCGAAATGGAACGTTCATTATACCCACGTACAAGTTTTGCGATTGCATTCAGCTTCAAACGCTGCCCTGGGCCCAACTTGGCAATGATCACTCCCGTATCTTGTGTGTTGTTCGCTTCCTCTTCCGAGCTGAAGTGAACCGGTTTGATGTACGGATCCAGTGATCGCAACGAATCCGACGTGACCGTTTGAGTCCCGCTTTCTGCGCGGACGTCCAATTCAAATTCGACACTGCAATTAGGACAATGTTCGTCACAGTCACAGTCGGCCGAGTAAACAAAGCGCTTCTTGAAAGCTTCCAGACCACCTTCCAATCGAAGAGGAATCATGCCCAAACGATGCGCCAGGAATTCGTCCGTGATGACACTGGTGTTGATTTCGATGCTCACCAGGTCAATTGCAAGGGTGGGGACTTCGGCAATCATGACCCGACGAAGCGCGTTGGCCACACTCGTATCCGTCTCACTCAACTCAAACTTGATGAAATCATCGCGGATCTCCTGGAGATCGATCTTGGGAAAGCGATTGTTTGGCATCGTGCTCTCCGCTCAATTTCGACGACTGATGGAAGGGAGTCTCAAAACAAGCCGCGTGCCCCGGGGTACACAACTCAATAATTTACTACATTGGAAAAAATACATAGGAATTACCCAAACTTCATGAATATTTATCTCATGCTTTTGCACGGCGGTGCGTGTTGAGGAGGTCGTTTTGGCGTCGTCCTTGTATGCCTCTCTTTGGTGCTTACTCTAGTATTGGCAAGAAGTACATGGTTTTCTTCACATGCAAGTTGCCAATTTCTTGAGAAATATATTTATTGTCCTGACAAGTCGAAATTGGATGAAACCATGTTGCACAATTTTTTACCATTTGATTGGTTCGACTTTCCACATCAACATGGCGATTGCGGAGGAGACGGTGGAATTTGGCGATGCGGGGACGTATTCGTTCTTCCAATACGGAAGCGCGGACTACAACCACATGTGTCTGACCAGCAACTCTGCTAGCCAAGACTCAACTGGGTTGCGAGTCTACTCGGGCGCTCAAGTCATGGCGCGGTTCCTTGCCTCCGCCGATGGATTGGCGCTGCTCCGTGGGAAACGCGTCATTGAGGCAACTATGAACACAGACGGGTCAATCTAATGCACTTGTAGCTGGGGTGCGGTACAGGAGTTATTGGATGCGTGGCTGGTGCTCGAGCAATCTTGTCCGACTTGGTTCTGACTGACGGAGACGAGCGAGCAGTTGCATTGGCGCAACGCAATTTGGAGCATGTCGTGCATTCCATCAAACCTGAATTGTCCACGGCATGCCGCCAGTTGTACTGGGGTGCCTCGTACCCGCCATCTTTGGGCGCGTTTGATGTCGTCTTGGGCTGTGATTTGATGTACTACCAAACAAACGTCGAGGACTTGATGTGGACTGTCGAATCGCTTGCACCGTCGGGCCTTTTCCTCCACGTCCACATCTTCCGCAAGGACGAGCACGGGGACACCATGCTCCAAGTTTTGGCAAAGTCGAACCGAACGACTCTTGTTGTCCCTATCCCTCACTTTATTTCCATCCCGGAAGTGGCCAACTGGCCGTCGTGGCTCAACGTGTGCTGCTTAATTTCGGGCCCATCGGACCAGATTCAAGTGCTCTTGGCGGCTCACCCCACTTGGTCGCTGTTCGTGTCGGTTGAAGCCACGCAAGACGAGAATTTCAAGGCCACCGAAGTCGACGAAGACGCCTAACCCATTCAAATAGCACTGAAATTCGAGATGAGGGATTGCATTCGACGCTGCAATCTTGGACATAAGTTCGTATTTGACTTAATGCACATGGATGTATATAAAGGAGCTGTTTAGCCAACGTCCAAAAGCCACCGCTTCGATGTACAAGACACAACTAGTCACGACCTAGCGTGCGCCCGCCACCACCCCAGTTGTAGCGCGACGGACCTGTCGTGGCACCTGAGCCTGCTTGGCGCGGGGCGGCACCTCCTGTCATGGGTCGGTTGTCCGAGGGGAAGAGGTTTGTCCTATGTGCATCGAAACTCTTAGTGGAAGGTGTGGTGTCACGCTTAAAGCGTACAAGAATTGAGGGGTTTTCAGCAAATTGATGTTTTTGGTGTTCGGAAGGATTTCCAGCATGAAATAGTACACATGGCCGGCAAATACCCCCGCGAGTTCGGGAATGGGATCGCCGCCAGTGAGCAACGTAAAGCCAATCATGGCCCATGGGAAATACAATGCCTTGAACTTGAATCCTACACAATGATCTCGCGTTAGAATACGCGGTAGTTTGAGCAGAAGAACGAAAAAGAACTGACCCCAGAAGGACACGATTTGCTCTGTGTGCTTGCGGCTCCAAACGTAGAGGATCATAAAGATCATCGGAATTCCCAAGAATGGGTACCCCAAAATGAACCCAATGATCTACGATGGTCGATGGTTAGCCGTGGAATTGACGATGACGATGCGACGATATTACATTGAGGACGACTCCACCAACGAGCATCATGAAGGCAAAGTCCGCGGACGCCCCCCCTCCAGCAACGAAGGGATCATTCTCCAGTACACTTCCATATTGTCCCCTACGCAAGACCATCAGCGACCATACATCACACACGACGAGACCATGTGAAGTGGCGACGTACAAGAGTAATAGGAACACGAGAAAGTTAAAGCTGAACTTGCCGATAAAGAGGAAGCACGTGACAAGGCGCCAAAAGTTGAATTCGAAGAAGACCAATCCAAAGTCCAGGTAGATGGTCCTTGGGCTGAGCAATCCGAACTGCGTCATGCACGTTGTAGCAAAGCACAACGTCATGTATGTGCGTGTGATCTTGGGAAGGTTGTTGAACCAGTTCTCTGGGGACGACATGATGCTGGTTATTCCACCGCTACCACAATGATGAAACCAAAACGCTCCTCCAGTTCGCTCTTCCGGATACGCTAGTTTCGCCACGTGTTCGAGCCGGATAAGAAACCAATTGCAAACCCCACGAATTCCCACGGATTGGCGAAAGTTTGCTTTGAAAATCCAGAATGATACGTTTTCGATGGGTCTCACTAGAAATTGCACATAGATTTACAAAAATGCCACAAAACTCGAGATTTGAATTCGAAGCAGTTGCGTGGAACCGCCGCGATCTTCGCCACCTCGGTCGGCCGCTGTCTGGTCGGGTTCAGCTCTATGGAGACGTTGCCACGTCGACGTAAAAAGAAGCGAAGCCATGCGACGATCACGATGATGGATGTGATTAAATCTAATGGCATGCGCGTCGTCGAAGGGACCAAGCTCAACTTGGTTGCAAAAGGAATCGACAGTATTGGGCCAGTCGTGGCAGCGATTGCCCAAACTACGACGTGTTTGTACTTGAGCCAGAACAACATAGCGTCACTGGATGGACTGACACAGTTTACGCGTTTGAAAGTTCTTAGTTTGGGCGGCAACCTTTTGTCTCGCTTTGACGAGTTTGACTTTCTTGCACCTCAACTTCCGTCCCTCCGAACCCTCTTGCTCACTGGAAACCCCCTGTGCGATGCGCCCAATTACCGTTTCCGAATCATTAGCGCTCTGTCCATGGTTCACACCCTCGATGGCACTGACGTGACGCCGAAAGAGCGCGAGATCGCACCGTTCCTCGTTGCACAGGACGCAAGCCTGCGCCACGTCGTTTATGACAACCACATGGAGATATCAAGATTGGAATGGATCGTGTTGCTCATTCCGATGCACAAGGAGTTCTACCACATCGTATTCAATGCCCATGGGTCGTCTCTGCGGTATGCTGATGACTCATGAAGGTTTTGACTTTTTCACAGGTGCCACGACCGAAGACCCCAACTCGAGAAGATGGCTGTCGATGTCGCATTGCTGCTTCGCCTGATGAAGCACGTCGATTCAGAGACGAAACCAACGCCCGTCGAGCTGTATCATCGTCAAGTCGAAAATCAACTTCAGCGAGTGGTTGTGCGTGCCTATAGTCATCTGCAACACCATCCGCTTCGAAAAGCCAAGCAGCTCCTGCAAAAGTTTGGCAACCAGCGGTTAAAGAACGTCGAGCCACCGCCGCCACCGTCGTGGGAAGACGCTTATGCAAGCGTCATCTCCCTCCAGCAAAACACGATGGCCAAGTTACGCGGCCTTTGCGAGCGCAACCGCCGCGACCTCGTGGATGCGCTCAAGTCACTCGTCATTCGAGACCCAGGACATCGACTGCACAATGCAAGATACGAACATGAGCAACGGCGACAAGACCTCACGTTCGAACGAGAGCAACTCCTCCGGGAATACCAAAATCAATGCGACAGGCAAGCCTTGAAACCCAACGACTGGAATTCCCATCCAGGGCTGCCTCCCCAACTTCTCGACCCAGACGACGCCCGACGGCATTGCCTACCAAATACGACACCGGTGTCGAGATTTCCTGCGCACAATCACTGCCCGACCAAATCGCCCGACCAACCAAGCCGGTGTACAACAAATCGTCACGCCCAGCATTCCCCGCCTCCACCGCCCCCGGCGCCTCTTTCGGGAGATCTACAACGTGGACGAAGCAAGCGAACACACGAAAAGTTGATTGCCAAGGTGTTCCAACTCGACGACAACGTGCCGTCCGCTGACGAGTCTGCCGACGCAATGTCGGTCCCACCGACATTGCTGCACGTGCCGACTGAATCGGTGTGCAAGCGGCGGCAGCTTGAAGTGTTGGAGAAGCGACGGACGGACTTGGACATCAGTCAAGACGAAAAGCGTCGCTTTCGGCGCGATGAAACAGCTCCACTCGACCACACGCTACGGGATTTGCACAACACATTGCACGACCGCTCAGGAAAGGTTACACCATTTGGCACAACTCACATCGAAAGTGACGCTTGCCAGCACGTGCAAGCATGGCCCACAGACTCAACTCTCCCCCACGCGGCTCCATCGAGGCCACCGAAAGACTTTGGAGCGATGACTCCAGCAGATGCACCTGTTCCTTCTTGCATGGCCCTGAACGCTTCGAATCAAACCACCACCATGCAATGGCCGCATGCGGACACAATGGACGTAGAACCTCCCGTCACACCTCGGCCTTCTGCTGCCCATTTTGATGCAGCAGCACCGACGGACCACCGAGCGACTGGTGCGACTGTATCAACTAAAAATCGATGCACCACTACACCCCAATCGGCGACCCGTTCATCCAACTCACCTCTCGTTGTGAAGAATCCTCGAGCTCCTAGACCTAAAAGTGTCCCACGTCCAAGGCGTCCTCCTCCACCCTCTACGCTTTGTCTGCTGGCCAGTTCAAGCTTGTGGCGCACAAAGGTCGGGCGGGTCTTCCATGCGTGGCGACAGTTTGTCGAGGTCCACCAAAAGCTTGACACGCAACAATTTCAACGCCTTCGCAGGTATTCGCGCCACGTTTTGGCATCATGGCGCCACTATTGCAATCAACAGCTCCGTCTTCGGATATTTGCCACATATCGCGACCATCGCAGCCTTCTCCGGTGCTTTCACAGATGGGCGAACGCGAGTCGTTTCCACGCCATTGCAGCGTTTGCAGTCGCGCGGCGGGACAAAGCCCGGCTCCAGAAGCTCATGCAAGTGTGGAAACAATGGACCGATCAAGCTGCTTCCATTCGACTGGCACAAGAGCGCGAGCACCACCGGCGGACATGCCAAATGCTGCGCCGTGTGATGGGTGCATGGCGACGGTGCACCCATGTCCACCTGCTGCATCGTATCCACGAGAGACAGCTGCGCCGAGTGCATGCCAAGTATACGCTCCACGTGGTATTTCATGGATGGCGTCGGTGGTTTGACCGGAACGTCCAACCTCGCCATCATCTCGAGCTCACAGTCCGCACAACGCGGGTGCGACGCAATATCCGCGAGGCATTTCGCGCATGGAAGGCTCTGGTCGCGGTGGCGTGTCGATTCCACAAGCGCACCAGTCTGGTTGCATGGAGACAGTGGCAGGTTGGTGACATGCCACGATCGTATGGAGCATGTTTCTGAAGCGACGTCGTCACTTGCAGATGTGGGTCGAACGGCGGCGCCAAAAAGCCCGTGCCACTCGAAGGATCGACCGGTACATTGTCAAGAAGGCCATGATGCGGTGGGCAAGCCTCACGCGAGCTCAGAAGCACCGCGCCCGCATGGTCGCCATCACTCGACGTCAGTGGGTGCACCACAAACTCCGACAAGTGTGGCGGCACTGGACCACGTACAAGTCTATGCGTCGCAAGTACGTCCAGGGATGTTTGAAAGCATTCAAGCACCGTCGCATCAAGTTGGAGCGACGGGTGTGGCATGCATGGGCTACCGCCACTGCGACACACTTGCATGCTCGGAAAAAGCAGAAGCAAGCGACATTGGCCGAAGCATTTCACGGATTTCGGCGCGCAGTGTGCAAGCAGCACGCCCGGCGCGATGTCGACCGACGTACGAGCCATTTGGCAACCCGGCATGCCCATCACTGGGTGCAGCAGTGCATGACACGGTATTCCACGACAGTTATTCCCGTGTCGATATCAACCATTCATGGCTGTAGATGGAGGGTGTTCGCGCTCCAGCGCCGTAAACCGTACGGCCTCATGTGCTTTGCTAGCTCCCTACGTAGCCATGCGCTGCTGGGTCGGCTGTGGACGTGCTGGCGCACTCAATACACTCAAGTACTTCAAACACGGCTACAAACCGCCGACGCGAAGGCAGCTCAAAACGTAGCAGAACGAAGCCGCGTCATGGCCGAGATGCTTCAGCTCAACGACACGACGATCCAGCTCGCCGAGCAGGTGTCTACTTGGAAGGCCACGTCAAAAGAAAAAGACGAGTCGATCCGTACGTGGCAGCAGTCCCATGACAAAATCGACCAAGCCAACGCGGTGCTTCAGCAACGAGTTGTCGCTCTTCAGCAACGGTTGCAAGACATGGAACAGGCGCGACTCGATCAAGAGCGGTTGGACGAAGCAGACAGGACGCAGTATGCCGAGCACGTCGGTGCTGTCGAAGCGACAAACGAAGGGTTGCGGCGGCAGCTGCGGAACAGCCAGGATGCATTGCTTCAGACCCAGCAGCAACTTACGCGAGAACGCGAGAAGCATCAACGACACAACGATGACAAGAAGAAGCTGCAGCTCCAACTCGACCAAAAAGTTGACGTACGATCGCCATCGTTTGCGCGTGGAAGCTCATGCTCTCCTCTGCAGGAAATGGCCAAGCTCCAGCGATCGTTGCAACGGGTCGAGGACACTCTTACCGTCGAGCGGGCCGAGCGCCAAGATGCAGCCGCACGCTGCAAAGACTACGAGATGCGGCTGGCCGACACGGTCCGAGCCATACAAGAGCACGAAGCGGACCAAGACAACCAGCTCCGGCAAACGCATGATGTCGCACTTGACATGGAGCGTCGGTGGAAAGAAGCCGAGGCAAAAAATACCGAGCTGGTCAAACTGCTCGACGAAAAGAACAACTGCGTCGCGGCGTTGACGAGTCAAGTGCAGACGCATCGGTCGGTCGAGGCGCATCGCGTGAGCGCGTTGCTTGAAGAAGTGCAAGCAAATATACAAAAGAACCAACTCAAGACACAGTGCCAACTCGACCAGCACGTGGTAGAACCCTACGCTCAGGACGACATGCACGAGCTCAACGCACACACG